ACACTTCGGAGACCCATATAGCCCAAACGTTTACTTGAAATGCTAGAAGACACAAAATTACTTCTCCAAATCTGGTATCAAACAAGTCAAAATGACTTGAAACGCCGAGAAAACAAGGCAAACACGATTTTTTGGTGAGAACAACCTTCAGGAAGTTGAAAATAACAATAAGAAGTTATTGGTCAAAACTTAATTAGATGATTTTATATACCATGGTTTACACCACTCCATTCCTGGTAAAACTCCAGGCCACAATTCCTTATCGTTCCTAAGTTCCTCTAAGAGATGGCTCATGGGCATTCCATGCATTTTTCCCGAATCTGATGATTTGTGGGTGTTGATATCAGCATGGGCATCTATCCACACCACGGCTACATCTTGGTCTTCTTTTTTCGCCAGTGATGTCCATATATAGAACCTGCAAGGAACAAATTGTTTATGAATAGATGGATTACGGAAGTTGTTGACGCCAATTTTAGTTTTTAGAACATGTGCCAATGTTACATGCAATTTATTTTGCAAAAAAATGTTGGCTTACATTCTATATCTTCAAGAAAAATCTTACCAGTAGCTATAGAGTGATCACCACCTAAATTGACAACGATCCTGCCATCACTAATACTTCGCAACTTTTTCTGATAACAATTTATTGCAGTCAATAACATGTTTTCGTCTTCTTTCTTCCAAAGATAGATCTTTTTGGGGAATTTTTTCACACATGTTACCATAGTCTTTGACGTCCTTCACACCTTAAAGAAAACAAATGCAAGAAAATTAAGAGATGCTAAATGGCAGTATGTTATAATTACCAGATGATTGATTTATTATTTTATTCTTATTATTATTATTTATTCAAGTATTACTACTCATCATCAATTCTTTATATATTTCATATTTTAAATATTTCATTGGGATAAATGATCATAATACGGATTTAGACCATAAAATAGTATAAATAATAATAATAATAATTTTAAGTTAGAATGCACAGTTTTGCAGTTAAGAAAACTATGTCTATTAGCGCGTTATGATTTTACTTAAAATAATATGTATTACCAATTGTACTTAGGTAAATTTAAAAAATGATGAAGCACATTACCTAATGTATTTTTTTGCAAAAAAAATACAACTCATAAATGAGGAAAATAATAGAGTTATAAAAAAAAACAAAATATGTCTAAGCATATGCTAATGCTTAATTTAATATTATTATTTTACCACCTACCTGGTATTTCCTTTAAAGCTTCGATAAGTCCTGTTTTCCTGATGTGGTCTGGTCCGTTCTGGACGCCATCCTTAGGCTGTCCATGTCTAAAAGGTATCCCAATGATACCAATTTTGACCTCCTTACTTTTAGCTTTGCAGGTTGAATAACACTTCACCAGGAGCGACTTAACTTTCTGCTTAGTACCTGTGTTGGCTTAGGAACTTGTTGAGGACGTCTTATCATAAACATTTTGAAAAAATTCTAATAAATTGATTTATAACACGTGATTACTCACAAGTCACAATTTTTCTTTAAAAAAATAATTTATCAAAAATATTTTATAATTTATATTAAAAGTTATAAAAAATAAGATAAAATCCTATCCTAATTCCTGTATCCACTCAGGATTTTTGTCCAAGATCCATTCCTAGTTCTTCACATCCATTTCTAAATGTTTTAACAAATATACTTCAATTAATTAAAAGCACAATTATAAATCACTATTAGTGTACTCACAATTAAATAAAATAATTTTTGTCACAGTTTTTTCAATGACAATTTCAACTCTAATCATTTTTTCGATAACCCCGCGTATAAAAGGTTACAAATTTGAATAAAAATAATTTTATTTAATCATAACATCGAAAAATAAATAATTTAATTTAACCATAATCGTCAAGAATGACTTTAAAATCATTTGAATCTAAAATTTCAGATATGTTTTGTTTATTCACATACCCAGGCTAATATATGACGCATAGTTTATCATCTAGAGCCCGTACAGAGCCGAATTAGAAATTTATTCAACTTTGAAATAATACCAAACGGTATAAAATATACAAATTTCATTTTTTCATACTAAATGAAGAGCTTTACTAATAAAGAGCTCTTAAGAGCTTTACTAGGCGGAAATCTTGCAAGAGAAGTTGAAGAAAACCAGAGATTTATATTTGAAATTGAAATATTTTCAAGGCAAATCTGCGAAAAGTTAGATCACCATTTAAGTAGAGACACAAAGATCTCTTCGGAGCAAATCGGATTTTTAGTAAAATTTTTCCTTAGGGTAGTTAAAAAAAATTCTAAAAATATATACTATAGAAAAATGAAAATAAATAGAGATTGCGCCGATGATTTGCGGTAGTAAATTCAAAAACATTTCCAAGAATAAAAGTTAATCACTATATAGGTTTTGCACAAATATCTTTATATTTATAATATAAAATTTTGTTTTGTTGAATATTTATATAGACCAGTGATTGGGAAGCTTTTTTAATTATCGCCCCAAAATATTTTTGTCTAAGTCGTTATTACCCCCATACAGACAACTGCGTTGTAAATACTGTAAAAGTCAATTAAAAATTGATATTTATGCTTGTTACCCACAAAAATTTCATTTTTACCCCAATTAGGGTAATTTACCCCGGTTTCTCGAGCACTGCTATAGACTTTCATGTATTAGAAGAAAGCATATTTTGTGTGACAATAAGATTATTAATTAATTCATAATAGTGTATGAAATATTATAAAAGACTAGGTGCCTAATCCCACATAATAAATTATATTTTCTTATATAAAGAAATAGTACGAGTTGCAAATTGGTTAAGAGCACGGAATTGCAATCACAAGTTTTCGGGTTCAAATCCCACGATATTGGACAATGGTGATGTTCGTTTTTACTTGAAAACACAGATAAAAAAAATATTTTTAAGTTATAAAAAACATCGAACTTGCTATTTTTCTATAGATTTATCTGAAAACCGTAATGGGATCACCAAAGCTGTTAGAAAAAATTGAAAGTATCATTTGATCTAATTGTAGAGTAAGGGCTTCGACCAAATCCCGAATAATCGACACTACTATGTCGTTTTTTTCAAAAAAAATTTGCATAGCAGACTTTTAATTTAAAAGTAAGTTAAAGAATTAATTCAAGCTTAAATTAGTATAGTAATCAACGTGCATAGCAGTGTTGACTTCTTTGATAGTTAAAAAATATTTTAAAGCAATTGTAAAAAACATTATAAATATATTTCAACAAAACCATAATTTCAGCACTGCTAAATATGTAAATCCAACTTTTAAAAAAATTAAAAAGGAAAAGTCTCCAAATCAAATTGTACCAAAATAGTGAACTGATCATTGATACTCTCTTGATCTATAAAGTATAGAAAATATTATAATATGTATATATTTACAAATATATAATAGATGATAAAAAAAACTTGCAGAAGCGTTTTAATGCCTATATAAATAAATAAATAAATGAATAAAACTTACAAGCATTAAATCAAATTACTTTTAAAAAAGTCTCCTTCTCAAGCAACTTCATGCATGTTCACCATTCTTCCTATTTTGTGAAACTGGTTACTTTCACCTTGGTAAAAAAAAGGTAAAATCCACATAAGAAATATTATTATTAGTACAAATATTTGAAAATATATACATAATAGATTAATAAATTATGAATTATGAATTATTTTTGCACTTACCAAAATCAGAATTCGGTTCTTTGACGTGCGATATCTCTGATAGACGATGTTGACCTCAAGACTTTAATCTTTTGCTATTAGTTTACTATAACTTTGTATGCAAACATATTTACACAAGTTTGATATATATATATATATGCAAATAAATTTATCAAAATTATTTCTCATTGGTCACTTCATATTATATGAATAAGATCAGAAAGAAAAATTTATATCTCTGGTATTGAAAGGTATCTAACTTTTAGATTGCAATTTTTTTCTAATTTCATCATAAATTACATGTTGTGATTTGTAATATTGTTAGAAAAAAATAACATTTTTTTCTGTAACATTCTAAACTTTAGCGCATATTCAATTATTTCAATTTACTTCAGAGATAAGAGATTTACTTATTATAGTCTTTCTAAGGAAGCAACCTTGTAAAAAAAAGAATAAATGGTGCTTTCTATTCGGGGATCAGAAACTTTTGAGAAAAAATGAAAATTGAAAAATTTAAGAACAAATTATCACATATTTTATAGACATTTTAATAATAAGTAACACTTTTGTTTACGTTTCTATAGGTTCTGTAAAAAAATAGAAACAAAAAAGTTTCTTAAAAAATTAAAAAAGAAAATTAAGTGTGAACAACCCAATTATCACTTAGACGTATGAAAAATAGATAGTAGCCGATTTTCAAACCGACTGAATACGCATATAAAATTTGGTGAAAATCGGTCAAGCCGTTTCAGAGAAGTACGGGCACAAACAAATCCAAATCAGTATAAGACAATGTATTCTGAACATGTCATTAGTTTAAAGTATACTTTCAATACAAAAATTCTATTATTTTACATAAGGAAAAGAATGGTGACCTCAGAAAATTTGCTGAATCTGTATTTATCATTTTAAACCCCCTTTGCAAAATTCTACCTTTTTAGTACATGGATCTCTTATCATAATATTGTTGTTTTTCAATTCATCTATTGTTAATAATTTTTTAAGTTATAGGTGTGTATTGTTGAAAATATTGGAAAACTGAATACACACAACCATACACTTATAACCTGTAATATCTTGTATTATCATTTATAATTTTTAATGTATATATTAGTTCGCAGTGAAATAACATTATTTTATTTCTTTTAACATTCAATATGTTTAAGTTCCTGAAGAAGCAGAATCCTATGTCCCGAAATGTCATGTTAATTATATATATATAAAAAAATAAATACAAAAAATGAAAAAACGGAGGGTTCTTAAGTTCAGAAAATTGGAATCAAATAATATTAGCTGACTAGAAAACACAGCGTACAATAAAAATATAGCTGAATTGCAACAACAGAAATTAAATTAACCGAATAATAAAGAAAGAACAATAAACAAAATTCACATTACTTTGAATGAGATTCAAAAATCTTAAGAAAAAGCCAGTTTCTTGTAATCACATCTTTTAGTCCAATCATTATAGTAAGTTCACCTCTAAATTCAAAATACCCAGCTGTAAGTCTGTAAATACTTGTATATTGATATGCCAAAAGTTGTCTCAAAACCTACATATGGTATTGACACCCTACTATATGTAGGTTTTGAGACAACCTATTTTAAGCTTAAATGACTGGACTACTTATAAAGAAAGAAGTAAAGATTTTGTGTAACTATGTAAGTTTAAAGTTTGACAAAAAGTAATGACAGAAATTACAGGAGCACAGTATATGAAGATGGATAGGTTGAAATGTTTGTATATAAAGATATAGCATAGTAAAATAATCAAAGATTTATTCAATAACCATTCATTTATACACAGATTTTCTCACTCTTTACTTAGGTCCCAACATTTCTTCTGGCTTGACCCATTCATCAAATTGTTGTTCAGTCAGGTATTTTAGTTTCAAGGCAGCTTCTTTCAAAGTAGATTTGTCGGCATGTGCAGTTTTGGCTATTTTAGCTGCCTTGTCGTAACCGATATGTGGGTTCAATGCTGTTACTAACATCAAGGATTCGCGCATTATCTTAGCGATATTTTCTTTATTGGCCTGGGTTCCGTCTACACAATTTGTTGCAAAGCATTTACAACTGTCACCTGTGAGGAAAACAAAATGTTGATCATACCACTGGATTATCAACGACAATTATTGTATCATGGCAAATAAAAAAGAGAAAAACATCAAATGCCGTATATTAACTTGTTTTGCAAACAAGGTGCTGCCTATAAACTGTAACCATTTCCAAATAATGTTTGATATGCTATGGCTTTTGTAAGAACCAATTTTTTTATTATTATTTCAAAAACACTATATTAAAATTGTAGCAGACTAATGGAAATGATAGTAAAAGTATTTATTTTCTCTATTAGAATCTATTAATCAGAATCTATTAATAAAATTAGGCAGTCAGGTAAAACCATCAACCTATTCATATTCACACATTTTAAAAGTCAGTTGTTTGTCAGTTGTATCAGTTTTATAGAATTTTCATTCATGAGACTCTCCTTGTCTAATCCATATCTATGTATTTAAATATATGTATTCAACTTACCAATTAGCCTGATGGATCGCAGTACATTAGCAACCATCATTGGTTTAAATACATTCAATTCAAAATGACCATTAGATCCACCAACAGTACAAGCTACGTGATTTCCCATTACTTGAGCAGCTACCATAGTTATGGCCTCACATTGAGTTGGATTAACCTTACCTTGAAAATAAAATGGAAAAATGATAGAAATTTATCACAATATAAGCAATTATATTGAAATTTTATAGTAAATTAAAGATAATATTAAAATAAAGTTATTGCTTTGAATAATTGAACAAGTACAAAATTGTAGATTATGTGTATCATCAGTGTTTTACCAGGCATGATAGAGCTTCCAGGTTCGTTTTCAGGTAGAGACAATTCACCAAGTCCACATCTTGGTCCAGAAGCCAAGAATCTCATGTCATTAGCAATTTTCATCAAAGAACAAGCGATTACATTAAGAGCACCAGAAACTTCAACCAAGGCATCATGAGCTGCTAGAGCTTCAAATTTATTTGGGGCTGATGTGAATGGAATTCCTACAAAAAGAAAAGTAAACTTACAATATTCTTATCATCAATTTAATAAATCATGTAGAAGTCACAAATATTGTCAAGAAATATGTATTTAATTATGCATAACTTTTTTGATATCATTCATTATTAAAAAATGTAACAAAGTTGAGGAAAGAGAAATAATAAGTCATTAACTAAAAAATATTTTGCTTGTTAATTAAATTAAAACATTGAGAACTGCTAAAAATATTTAACCTTTTAAATTTCAAGGACTGTAGAAAAACAGGTTCTATAAACTACTGTATTAAAATTCATATGTTCAAATAAATTACCTGTGAGTTCGCTAATGACTTTGCAGCACTTTTCAGCAAAACCTTTGCGAGTATTCAATCCTGTTCCAACAGCTGTTCCACCTATGGCGAGCTGGTATAACCGGGGGTAACAAGCTTCGACTCTTTCAATGCCATAAGCCATTTGGGCAACATAAGCTGGAGAAAGAAATAAAATTCATTTGATAAATAAATTTTAAACAATATATTATATAAAATGCAATTAAATATATTTACTATAGCGATAATACTTTCCAGAATAAAATTTGTTGTTACTATTATTGCAATATTTTTAAGAATAATGATGATTTAATTATTTTATCATTAAAATATAAAAGCCAAAAGATAATGTAAAATGTATCCAATCTGTACATAAGTTGAAAAAATGTTAAACCTGAGAATTCTTGTCCCAATGTCAATGGCACAGCATCTTGTGTGTGCGTTCTACCAATTTTAATAATGTCTTTAAATTCTATGGCTTTCTTATTGAGAGAATCGTGCAATTGTTTCATTCCTGGAAGTAAAGTACATTGGATCTCCATTGCTACTGCAATATGCATGGCCGTTGGAAATGTATCATTTGAACTTTGGGATTTGTTTACATGATCATTTGGATGTACTGGTGTTTTTGATCCCAATTGACCACCTAAAAGTTGAATAGCTCTGTTGCTAATTACCTATGAATAAAATTAATATTATAAGATATAATTTTATAATTATAGTTATATTTAATATATTTAATTACTTCATTTGTGTTCATGTTTGTTTGGGTTCCAGACCCAGTTTGCCAGATTACTAATGGAAAATGATCATCATACAATTTTCCTGAAATGACATCATCAGCTGCTTTAGAAATTGCATCAGCAATTTTTGGATCTAAACCGTAGTCCTTATTAACAATGGCAGCAGCTTTTTTCAAAACACCCATTCCTACAATAACTGGATACTAAAAATTAAAAAAGTATTAATACAATAATATTGCATTTTATGCATTTAGATATGACTAGATTGAAAATAAATGTATTAGTCACTGAAGATTTCAGTAAATTGAATTTTGACATAAATAAATTAAAAGATTACCACTGCAAGTTTTTCCAATTCTCTTATTTCATAAAGGGGTAGCATCAATATAATTATTTAATGATTTAAATACTCGCCAATTGCACAAAAATCAATATTTTTAAGAATCTCCAAGAATCTTTGGCTGTAACCATTTGCAATAAGTCTTTTCCTTTTCAATAAGAAATTAATAATGTTTTTCTTGCAGAAACTACATTTGTAAAAATGTCTGTGGTGCTATCGTTTTTGAATAATCTTCTATTTTTTACTATGTTAAATTATATATAATATACTATAAATTCATACTAAATAACTATGTCCAATATTATCATTTCATTACTTTTCTTTCCTCCCAAAAAATAACATTTCTTTGGCTATTAAACTCGTGTTACCCCTTAATAATATCTTACAGGCATTCTCTCGAATTCTCCTCCAATGGGAAAGTTCATAACAGATCGTAAGGTTTGTGCCCCATATAGCTTGTCATCAGGAACATCTAGTTCTCCAAAGGTGTCTGATTCCTTTCTCATCGCCTATAAAGAAGAAATATGATTTAGAAATAGAAATTATATTGATATTGTACAAGGAATAAATTTTAAAATTATACACAATACATAAAGTGAGTGTAAATCAATAGCATTACAGGAATAAAAATTTGATAAACAAGGCATTCATTAGATTTATAGTTTTAGTGCAGAATTTCATCTAAATTCATAGTAAAGAGTATGTATCAAAATCACAAAGTCAAATTATATATATATATATATATATATATATATATATATATATAATTTGACTATATATTACCAAATAAAGTTTGTGTTAAAAATCTGAGTGTTATATTGTTCATATTTAACATTTAATATATATATATATATAATATATATATATATATATATATATATATATATTAAATGTTAAATATGAACAATACAACACTCAGATTTTTACCACACACTTTATTTGGTAATTACAGACGTTTCGAGACCATGGTATGCCCATCTTCAGTGTAATTTCAAAAACAGTTACTCATATACTACACATTCTTTAATATTTTATTTACATTTAATTTTTGATAATACAAAAAGCACCAACTATCACTGCAAAGCTTGACACAGTACTAAAACATGTGAAATATTTTAAACAAATCTTAAGTATCGAGATGAAAAAACAGGATGGGTATTATTATAATGTAAACAAATGGAGTGTGCGATCCCATTCTAAAATCAACAAATGTGATAACAGATTAATTTATTGAAGAGAATAAGATAAATGAAAAAAAAATATAAATTATTAATGATGTTTATATAAGAGTCTATGCTAATATCAACAACCATAAGTTTGATTTTGATAATCCCCAAATTCCATGAAAAAGACTTATTTAAACGGAGCATGGCAGAATCAATATTAATAGTTCTGACTAACAATAGCGTAAATCTGAGAACCAACACAAATATTTCATAGGACTCTTATATAAACATCATTAATAATTTATGATTTTTTTCATTTATTTTATTCTCTTCAATAAATTAATCTGTTTTCACATTTGTTGATTTTAGTAAGCAATCGCACTCCATTTGTTTACATTGTAATAATATCCATCCTGTCCCTTCATCTTCGACACTCAAGATTTGTTTCAAATATTTCTGTATATATTCACATGTTCAGTACTGTGTCAAGCTTTGTAAGAAATAGTCAGTGTTTTTTGTTCTTCAAAAATTAAATGTAATTTTAAAATATTAAATAATGTGTTAGTATATAATTAACTGTTTTGAAATTACACTGAAGATAAGGCAGAACATGGTCTCAAAACATCTGTAATTATTAAATAAAGTGTGTGTTAAAAATCCGAGTGTTGTATTGTTCATATTTAACATTTAATATATATATTAAATATAATATATATATAATATATATATATATATATATATATTTATATTAAATTAATATATATATATATATATATATATATATTTATATATATATATATGAGTAAGTTCTTGTAGGGCGATACATCAAAGAATAAAAAGAAAAGATTTATAAATTAATCTTTAATTCCAAACGTTTCGACATTCAATTTAATGTCATCATCAGTGGATATTAACGTTGGTAGGTTACATCTAGAGAAGTGTACACAACACTAGAAATTAGCACTAACATTTATACAACTAACTTGTCAACACCATGCATTTTTTATAATTTTTTGTATGATGTAAAAAGAAAAATGATAGTTTTATTTGAACAAAAATGTGAGTAAAGTTAGGTAATTTCTGCCACGACTTCTGTACTTTGCGAGTTTCGAGGCTTATGTTGAATTTCTAGTGTTTTGTACACTTCTGTAGAAGTAACCTACCAACATTAATATCCACTGATGATGACATTGAATTGAATGTCGAAACGTTTGGAATTAAAGATTAATTTATAAATCTTTGCTCTTTATTCTTTGATGTATTGCCCCACAAGAACTTACTCATATATCTCAACACCAAAATTAACAACTAAATCACATATATATATATATATATATATATATATAAATGTATAAAAATGTGCAAAAACACATTTTAATATCACAAATCCACTTCTGAAATGCAATAACTCAAACTGACAATTCCAAAACTTATATGTATATTATTAGTGACATTACATGCACAATTATCTTCACACCCTCCATATTCACAATTTCACCACGTTGTTAAATGTGCATACTAATCATCAAACAAAAACCTAAAACAAATGAATAAATGTTCAAAATTCCATTATATTTACCATTTTGGTTGTGAAAATATTCCTGTGAACTTGAGTGCCCAAGCTGAGCGCTTCGATTCCTTTGAACTGCGATAACAGACGACATTGCGAAAGACGGAAGATGTGCATCGACATGATTACGTCAAAATTAATAAATTAAAACCAGTTTAAATAAATAACAACTTTATAATTGTTGCGCTTATCAACTGTTCGCGGCCGCGCAACACTAAATGACATAACAGGTCTGGCGGCTTACTGTGCGGTTGACATGACGTAACATCTACAAGAAATGGATTTATATATTTATATGTTTATTTAGTTGAATTCTATAAATAAATTATATTTAGGACTATTAGTTTTATTTCAGTCTTATTCTTTGTGGCTCGATATATTTAAAGATTGTTTTGACCATAAGATAAAAGACATATGTCATTAACACTGACAACATTTGAATAATTTATTAATTCAACTCATTAATTGATTTCATAATTTAAACGTTAGTTATGAGCAATTTCTCTTACTTTATATATTATATTCTAATTATATTCTATTCATTGTTTTACGCATTTCATAGGTTATGTCATTATGTCATAAATAATAAACATGCATAAAGTGACACCTTGACAGCGCTGGCTGACATAGTTTATCTAGGATACGAACCTTCATCAGTTAGTAAAGTTTCACTTATTACTTTCCGTTATATTTAAATGTGTTTAAACTACGGCAGCTAGTCCAAATATAATGATAAAAAAAATAATATATACATTTATATATAAAATTTCCATACATACTAAGGCAGTTAGTCTATATATAAATATGTAAAAATCAATATATACATTTATATATCCAATTTCCATACATACTAAGGCAGCTAGTCCATATATAAACAGAAAAATCAATATATACATTTATATTTCCAATTTACACACAGGCTCATGCAGTTAGGCCATATATAATGATGGAAAACACAATATACAAATTTATATATCCAATTCCCTGATTTTAAAATATTATCAATGATGATGTTTATTAATATATTTATTTAATATTTTTATTAACAATCGATTATAATTGACAAAAAGTGCGCGATTGAAGTAAGAATCTTCTTATGCTTGTTTTCGAGATGACAATTAAGTTAAAAATTAGTTTTTAGTGACATTTTGCCTTGAATCAGTTGAAAAAATATAATTTGATTTGTTTATAATCTACCAATCGCGTCAAATTCACTCAATTTATGTCTGTCATCACTCATCGGCCAATGACAAATCAGCATTTACGGACGTCAGGCGTAACGGATTTCCGTCCTATTGTCAATCATATTTTAGATTTACTTCCTGGCGCCTACAGAAGTTTTACTTCAAAAATTTACAGAAAATTGAATAATCTGCAATAGTTTCTGCGGAAACATACATATAAATTACTCTTGAATCAATATATAGATTTAATATTGATTTGGCTTAAGGCAAAATGTCACTTACAACTTTTCAACTAGTCGTGGTTGTTTAAACGTACGTTTAAAGTTGCATAAAGATTCAATACAATGTTTCAATATCAATATTGAAAAATAAGCAATAATAATAATATTGAACAATTAGCTAGATATTTAATATTTAATCAAATTTTATCCCATTCTGTATATGTATTGGCGACAAAAGTTATCCATGCGCGAATACCTTTAACGGACGACATGTTTTCAAATTCGAACTGTTGCTCTTTTTTGACAAATTTAATTCTTGTAAAAATATTTAATCATAGATAAAAGAAGAGTATTTAATTATGTAAATATTAGTTATTACTAACCCAGGAAAATTTATTAAACTTATCTTAACATTCTCATATAAATTCAATTATATTCAAATAAAAACGTATGTAAATATTACACTTTTGATTGGTTATGTATGGATTTAACAATTTGTGAATTTATATTCATATCTGTGATAAAATTCATGTGTGCAAATATTTACATTCGATTCTGTGCCTTTCAAAACAATAATTTTCAAGTGTAGTTTATGATTAGATAATGAAATTTGTATAATTTCATTTTATCGTGACGTAAAACGTCTGGAACTAAATCTTATCACAACCATCAGCAGCAAAATTCATTTAATTTCGTGGCCAATATAAAAACAATGTCGGATATTATTGTTTTGGGATCCTGTAGTGTAGATTTCACTTGGTAAGAGCAAGATATATTTATTTTTGAATATTTATTTATATAAATTATAATTTTATGTTAAAGTTTTGCTGCAAGGCTTCCAAAAGCGGGTGAAACTATTCATGGCAAAAAATTTATGACCAGTTTTGGAGGCAAAGGCGCCAATCAATGCGTTTCTGCTGCCAAATTGGGTGGAAAAACTGCACTAATAGCAAATGTAAGATTATAAACATAATAGTTATTTATGTAAGAATTTATTAAGTTCTTTCTTATCCTTTACCCAGCTTGGGAATGACAAATGGGGCATCGAATACAAAACGTATTTAGAAAAATTAAGCATCAACACTGCACAAGTACATCTAAAATCAGATTATGATACTGGAATAGCCCATATATCCGTAGCAGAATCTGGTGAAAATCAAATAATTATTGTAGCCGGTGCAAATGGTAGCCTTACACCTGGACATGTGGAAACAATGAAAGATGTTTGGGATTCTGCTAAGATTTTGGTGTGCCAATTGGAGACACCCATAGATGCAACTCTGGCAGCTCTAAAACACTTCAAAGGAGTATGTATAAATAATATGGCAATAAAATGGAATAAACAGATTTATAATGTTTGCAGATATCTATTTTAAATGCTGCTCCAGCTCAACCTTGTACAAACGATGATTTGTTGAAGTTGCCATCAATTTTTTGTGTGAACGAAGTAGAAGCATCTATTATATCAGGAATTGATGTTAGCAATGTAGAGTAAGTTTAACAATAATTAAATTAATAACTATATTCTTACTGTAATTATTTTGTTGCAGAGAAGCAAACACAGCTATTTCTATATTTTTGCAAAGAGGTTGCCGGACAATTATCGTAACTCTGGGTGCAGAAGGGGCAGTTTTTGCCAGTCAAGAAGATCCAGTTCCAATTTTTGTTCCTGCAAAGAAAGTTGCTCCTACTGATACAACGGTTTGTTTTGATGTTTTTTTTTTATTATTTAAAAATTCAATGTAAGAATATTTTATAACATGGTTTCAAATATTTAAGTTCAATTTAACAGATATGTTTAGATTCATTGATTTTCATTACTCTTCCGACTGTGAAGTGCCATGTGTTTCTTCAAATTGCCTGGTTGATTAAATCCCTTATTGCATGTTTCACATTTATAAGGAGTCTCTCCATTATGAATCCGCAAGTGTTGTTTCAGAGATCTTAATTGCTTGAATTTCTTATTACAAGTATTGCATTCATGAGGACGTACTTCATTGTGTATTAGCATGTGATCTTTCAGATGATTTATTTGTATGAATGTCTTCTTGCATATGCTGCACTCATAGGGACGCTCACCACTGTGAATGCGCATGTGAGTTTTCAGAGTACTTGAATATGTGAATGTCTTCTTGCATATACTGCACTCATGGGGGCGCTCACCACTGTGAATGAGCATGTGAGATTTCAGATCACATGAATGTATGAAAGTCTTCTTGCATATACTGCACTCATGGGGACGCTCACCACTGTGAATGACCATGTGAATTTTCAGAATACTTGAATATATTGAAGCGCCGCGCCGCCGTCTAACGGATAAGCATTAGTACGGAACCCATAGGAATGTAAACAAAAATTATACTTATTGTTAAAATGTCTATAAAATATCTAATAATTTGATGTGCATATGTCTAATGATCATTTTTGACCGCCAGATGGCATTTTTTTTTTTACTTTTTTCACTAGATGTCCGAAACCGCTAGACCTGCCTTTATGAAAATTTGATCGGTTATTCATCTTGTTATAGCAAGTAAAATGCTTTTTGAATTATTGAAATCGGACGCTCCGTTTTCTTAAAAACTGAGTTACCGTTTTTGGCACTTTTTGTTCCATATCTTCGGAACGGCTAGACCTGCCTTCGTCAAAAACTAATCAGCACGTCTCCTTATCAATACGAATCGAATGTTTTTTGAATTATTCAAATCGCTTCATCCGTGTTCCCGAAATTGTCGACGAAAATTTGTATCCGCATACACATACACACACGCACACACACACAAACACATACATCCATTTTTTCTAAGGTATGTCAAAATATTCAGAAACCTCTAAAACGTGAAGATATATAAAAATTTTCATTTTCGATTTTTTTGCGATTACTATAACTTAGCCTACGGGAAGTAGAACAAGATACAGTAATAATGTTAATGCTGAATGTTTATTGAAATTATTAAATTTACTTCAACGTACTTAAAACATACTTATAAGTATTTAATTAATCATTATACTTATAAGTATAATGATTAATTAAATAAAGAAATGCAGTAAACATTTTTAAGGTTAAGTGCCTTAAAGCTTATGCCATAATCTCGGAATAGTTCTTAATAAAAACAATATAATAATGATAAAAATATTTTATTAATAGAATAAGTAAATAATAAATTAATTTACTTTATTTAACCATTATTTTATTATTTTTGGTCAAACTAAATATATTACTTAAACATTATTATAAAGGCATGATTTAGACATTATTATAAGGACAAGACCCTTCATAAAAAATTGCAGGAAAAAAACTACATTAACTTTTCGAGACTTGTAAATTGAAGGAAATATTGTTGACAAGTAGGTTGGATTCAATTCCTCGTCCGATTCACTGCAATTGCGATCATAGGGCTTAGGGAACCCACGGTGATCCATCAGTGGTTGTCAAATATCTCCCTTCCGCTTTTTTGCTCTTGGTTTATAATATAAAAAGGCGGAAGGGAGATATTTGACAACCTATTATTTAACTTCCCGAAGGAGAAGTTTATGTTTTCATCAAAAAATCCGATTCGCTAATTTTATGTTTTCTCGACGTTTCAAGCCGTTCTGAATCGAATGAGACCAAATTTGGAAAAAGTATGTGTGTGTGTGTGTGTGTGTGTGAACAGATTTTTTGCCGTAAATCGACGTTTTCTCCAAAAACGGCTGGACCGATTTCAAAAATTTGAAAGCCATTCGATGTATCTCGATGAGGACTATCGTTTCTTTATGCTGCGATCGGCCGGGCCGTTTCTTTGTAAATTGCAGAAAAGTGAAAAAATTTTCGTCGACGTTTTAGCCCGCAATTCTGAATCGATTCTGAAAATTCAAAAACCATTTGATAGATATTGGTTGGGAATCGTGCTGATTAGTTTTTGGTAAAGATCGGCCGGGCCGTTTTCTTGTAATAAAGTTAAAAAAAAAAAAATCGGCGATTTTTATGATTTTTTTTGACGTTAGATACCATAGTTTTCTAGGTCATACTAAAATATTACGGCCCTACGACAACTCGTTTAGCTTTAAAAATTCGTCAAAGTTTGCAAAAATTGGTATCGTTTTTTGACATTTGTCAAAATTAGACCTTTGATCGACGTTTTCTCAAAAACGCCTCAACCGATTTCAGAAATTTAAAAGCCATTTGATGTATTTCGGTGAGGACTATCGTTTGGTCAGTTTTGTGCGACGATCTGCCAAGCCGTTTCTTTGTAATTTGAAAAAAGTGTTAAACTTTTCGTCCCTATTTAAGCTCATCCTACCGAACCGATTTTGAAAAATCACAAACTGTTCGAAAGATATTAGTTGGGAATGATACTGATTAGTTTTAGGTGAAAATCTACCGAGCCGTTTCCTTGTAATTAACTGTTGAAAAAAAAAATTTAAGCCGATTTTTATGGATTTTTTTTTAGTGATATACTCGTATACCATGGTCTTATAGAACTTACCGAAATATTACGGCCTTACGACAAATAGTTTGATTTTAAAAATTCATCAAAATTTGAGAAAATGAGTAGTTCTTTTGACATTTGTTAAAATTAAAATTAGACTATTTACTTGGTATAATGATAGAGTACTTGGTCTTGAACATAAAAAGTCGTGGAAACTGGTTCAATTATAAAAATTATTGATTTTTGAAAATTTGCTTTTAGAAAGTACTCCGAGTTAAAGTGTTCGTTCGTTTTCAATTATGTATAATAAATCCACTCGACATACTTTTAATGACTCATAAATTAATTAATTTTTTATTGATTAAGTCCATTATTTAAACATATCGGGAAGTTCATGTAACTTGCCTCAAGGCTAAATACCAAACCAACTAGTTTGCATTATTTCAGCATTGTATTAATTAAACTGTTTGCAAAATAAACATTTTTTGCTATGTGATAACTTTTATTTTTCTTTTAATCATAAAATTACAATTATTATATTATAAAATGTAATTAATATATAGATAATAGTTATACATAATCAATATACAATATATAAATATATATTTTTTATTATTTCAGCCTTGTATTAATTACATTGTTTGCAAAACAATTTTCTAGTAAGCATTAAATTTTGTTAATATAACAATTTATTGACTTATAATTTTTCTTTTTGCTAAACATAACAATTTTACAACTATTCATAATACTCCGAATTGTATTTTTATAACAATAAGGTTATGATACTTACTTTATTCTTCTAACCGCAGCGATCCGTTTTTCCCATTGATGTTCTTTCCACGTAGCTGTAGAAAATGTATAGAATTTGCAGTCACTTTTTCTGCTAGTATTTCTACAACCCACTAAACAACAGCTATGGTGGCTCATTTTTAATTATCTTATTTATAGTTGATATAAAATATATATAAACAAATATTTTATGTGTTTTTGTTTAAAATTTCAGTTATAATAGCCCCATTTAGTGCTCCAAGTTAGCCACAACGAACGCTTCGGTCGATTTGACTTCCCCTTCGCACATAGCCTATATGAACACGGGGTATTTTAATATTGTCTAGGGTTGAACTTGAACATCGTATATTATTATATTAAATATCGAATTTAGATGAATTTCAATCAGCTTAACACAAATATTTTTCATCAAATTTTAAAATACTATCTACCACGAGTCATGTTTTTAACCTACAGTATAAAAGCCTTTGCCTTTCATATCATGTAAATGCTTGGATTATTAATATTGTTTGTTTAAATTTCTATGGCCTTTGGCAGATTCATACTATAAAATAAGAAACATTTCAATTTGTTTTATACATTAGAAAGAAGTTTATATTTTCTTAACTTTTCAAGTCATGATAAATCGTTTGAGCCCAAATTTGGGAAAAGTATGTATGTGTGTATGTGACCAGATAGGGACTCACGTTGTTTACTTTTTCTCGAAGATCGATGGAATATTCTTGTTTTGCCGGGTACACGAATTTTAGTATGTTATTTTTTCTTTTATAAAACTAGATGAATTTTTTTCGAGACCCACAACACCCTACAGTTCTGTGTTCTTATTCGTAATTCATGAATTTGAAACCCGAAATCCAACCCAACCAGAACATATACACTACAGAATGGAGTTAATCAAAATGTCTTCTGAAATAAATGACTTATGGATTCAGTGGTCAAAAAAAATTTTTGTTTCACAGTGGCAATTTTTATCCTTTGGAAAATTATTATAATCATAAAAAGTTATGATTATACCAAGTTCTTTCCCACTAATATCTCAGTTTTTTCAAAAAGTGGAGTTAGTCGATGTGTGCACTGAGCGGCTCATATATAAAAATAAGTCGGGTTTTCCTTCCTGACGAAATAACTCCAGAACGCACGAACCGATTTCGACAATTTTGCATTCGTTGGAAAGGTCTCGCAAAGCTCTTAATGCCTTAAGGTGCCTTAATGCGAGATTTCAATTTCCAGTTCGCCTTGCGTTCGCAATGACAACTAACAAGCCGCAAGGCCAATCGCTTAGTGTTTGCGGGATAAATTTCAAACAAATTATTTAGAAAATCATTATATATCACATGGGCAGTTATACGTTGCCTGTTCACGAGTTGGAAAACCATCCGCTTTGTTTGTGTTAACGTCAGACCAAAAAACAAAAAATGTGGTTTACCAAAGAGCACTTTAATGAAACGGATAATTTGCGGATTCACTTTCATTTACTTAGAGAAGTTCAACTAAAAAACACTTCATTTTTGTAATCGAAATAAATTCATTACTGTTGTATAATAAAATCTAATTTTTCCCTTTCAAATATAAAACAAACAAAAAATTTCTTCATCTTTCTCACGAAACCATCTGGTGGCGGAACGGAGTTCGTCGGGTTTGCTAGTATATATATATATATGTATATATATATATATATATATATGTGTATAATATAGAGTATAAATTTCGCCCTTCCTCAAATTTAGATTTTTATTATTTATAAAAAATCGAGAATATCAAAAAAAAAGAGAAATTTTTATAGATATATAGTGATTTTTTAAAATATTTTCGTAGTTCATACGAATGCGACATTATTCTGGATTAATAATTTTTTTTTCGGATTATTTGGAGGGCTAAAATCAGGGGTCAATATGCGTGTTCTTTATCCAATAAAATGAGTTTATGAATGGTTTTCATTGAAAAATTTTCAAAGATATATCCATGGTTTATCTTGCTAATTTTTAATTTTTTCAAATTTTCAAAGATCTATGGTTTATTTTCATGGTTCACGTTTTTTTTTTTAAATATAATCAGGAACTCATTAGCAAAGTCTTTTTAATGAAAAGACAATATTATCACGAGTGATGAGCTTTCAGGATTTGATGTATCACTGCAAAACAACGAAATCTTTGGTTGCAACATCGAAATTTTGTCAAAAAATCGATTTGTTTTCGCGATTTTTAAAATGTTTTGACTGATTTTAATATATTTTGGGACCCCGATTTCAAAAATGCTGTCCGTTTTTGGATAAACTCCGATACATGAGTAGAATATCAAAATATTTGATTGCAACAACGAAATGTTAGAACAAAAATAGATTTGTTTTCGCAATTTAGGAAATATTTTGACTGATTCCAAAAGATTTTTGGACGCTGATTTCAAAAATGCTATCTATTTTTGGATAAACCCACATACACCCCGCAAAAAATCGAAATCTTTGGTTGCAAAATAGATTTTTTTAAAAAAAAATCGTTTTTTTTTCGCGATTTTCAAAATGTTTTGATTGATTTTGATTGATTTTGGGACGCTGATTTTGAAAATATTATCCGTTTTTGGATAAACCCACATACACCCACTGAAAAATCGAAATCTTTGGTTGCAAAATCAAAATTTTACTAATGAAATGAAAATTTTTTTTCGCGATTTTCAAAATGTTTTGACCGACTCTGATAGTTTTCGAGGCGCTGATACCGAATATGAAATCAGTTTTTGGAAAAAAAAATTCTTCTGCATTTGTTACCAATTTGAAGTTTGAAAAATGGCCAACTTTGAAGCTGATTTTAACTATGAAGACGACGATAAATTTGTAATTTTTTTGGTTTGGTATAAAGATAGTACTTTAGTCTACACAATGCATTCATTAAAATTATCAATTTCATTCATTAAGGGCCTTAAAATTGCATTTGAAAGTCATGATTTTGACCAATTTTGGCTGCCCCTGATAGATAGGTTTTTCATCGAAAAAAAAAGATTTTTAAATTACACCAAAGTAGGTTTGGTTTACTGCTAACCAGGCGTGAATATGAATTTATTAAAAATTATCTTCCTTCTATTATTTCTTATCTTTTATATATTTATATATTTATATATTTATATATTATATATTTATATATTTATATATTTATATATACACATTTATATTTATATATATGCACATGTATATTATGTCAATTTTTGTAATACTGGCAGCACTCAATAAATTTATTTATCTATATATCTTATTTATTTACACAGTTAGAAAAATTATTGAATTTAATTTTTTTTTCAGATAAATGGGTTCGATCTAGCGAACCTCGAATTATTATTCTGTCCTAAACCGACCGTATCCTTACGACCTCGGCCATTCGCACAATTGGCACACAACTTTTTTAGGAAGCTTATATCTTTCATTATCAAAATAAGACTTTATATTTTTGCAAATAGAGGAGGGTTATTTATAACCAATTGGCCGAGATCGTTAAGTTGCCACTACGGTTGCTCATTGTTTCTCGGTTCAAATCCCCAAGATGCTTGAAAATTCGAATGTATAGTTTTTCATAAATATCAAATATTAGTTCAAAATATTAAATTCAGGTGTCGCATTTCGACCTTGACACTTAGAATATTTCTGAAAAACCAAAAACTCAAGTTTCGCACTTGACTGTAAGAGAGATACATAAAGACAGAGATGACGATGGTAGAGGAAGAACTGGGGAAAGAGAGGGGTAGAGGCAGATGATGAATAAGAGAGATGTGTATGATACATATTCTTTATTAAATTTCAATATTAATACAATATGAGAATGAAAATAACTTTTATCATCAATAATTCAAATAGCCGAGCGGTTTAAGTGACCGCATACTCGGTGAAATCACTCTGGAGGCACAAGGTGAGACGGATCGAGTCCAGCTGAAGGCGACGACGACGAACTCTGAGGCTGAAAAAATGGAGCAGTGCTGGTGGCTGGCTGGTGGCAGGCGCAGAGAGAGAGATCCTGATACGAACACACGAAGTGATGGTCAACCTGAGGTCCATGATACAAGAGGTCACACGCAGGGAGACACATTGCGGAAGATGCATGCCGAATCCAAAAATCTACCGAAAAACCACAACATGAAAAAAAAATGAAAAAAAATGAAAAAAAATGAAAAAAAAGGAAAAAAATGGGAAAAGAAGGGGAAGGAGGAGGGGAAGGGGAGGTGGAGGAACCTAAAAAAACCCCCTAAGTCCCAGATGAATTTTTCTCTTTTCTGTTCAATGCTGAAACTTTTTTATGTTTTTTAGTGTTCCCTCACACCAATTCCCAAAGCCAACACTCGAATGAAATGAGGTCAACGTTGAAATTTTCACAACGAGAAAAAATTACTGGGACTTAGTTAAAATTTTTAACTTTGTCCCAATAAAATTTTCTCGTTGTGAAATATTCAATGTGAGAGCCTCATTCATTCGAATGTTGGCTTTGGGATAATACAGCATGCATAAATAACTCGTCTGTCTTAATTGAAAAGGTTTCAGAAAATTTGGACTTAGAAAAAAAAATTATCTGAAAGAACTTAGAAAATAAAAATTATTCGAAAGAATTATAATCAAAAAATTTGGACTTATAAAAAAAAAAAATTATTCGAGAGAATTATTTAATTAATCGATGAAATGAAATCATATTAATCGAATTAAAATCGTTTATACGACTTGATAAAACATGTGAAACCTTTACAATTAATCGAGACAAAAAAACAAATATAGCTGACTTGAATAATATACAAATTATTGGAAAAAGCCAAAAAAGAAATTTAATAAAACTTGTAAAATGAAATAATAGAAAATATTCAAATGTAAATCTTAACTACTTCAAAACTGTTTAAATCTGATCGTTATCCTTTAGAAATCGAGTTAAATAATTTTTACAACTTGAATCGAATAATAAACTTGTTAACAAAATTATGTTTTGTCTAATCATTCAAGTCAACTCTTTGAAACTTTGATTGCATGTCTTGATCAAAAATGTTTTTATCAATAAAAGAATAAAAATCTATCATTTAGCTATGCAGCAATATAATTGAATAAATTTAAAATTAAACTACAGTAAAAGACTTTTAAAAGCTGCATTTAATTAACAATTTGGTAAGTTGTATTAAGTATTTGAAATATTTTGATCAAAACCAACAATCATGTTATCCATAAAAAAGAATGTACATGCAGTCGCTACAGGGAAAACACATGATTCTTGATACTGGAAATGTCAAATTCAAATACAAATATTTTTTCTGTATAACAATGAACAAGTGTGATAAAAAAGAGATTTTGTAACAAAGTAAATTTGTAATTTGTAACAAAGTAAATTTGTAAATTGTAACAAAATACCATCAATTTAGGAGTTACCTAAGGAAGGATGCTAGGACCCCTTCAGCAAAAAAGTAATCGATGCCCACAAAAAGCAGTATTAGTTAACTAATAACTTGGTAGCAAAAATTTAATATTCATATAAAAATTCTGAATTCCATACAAAATCAGTTCATAGTGTTATTTATAGAGCAAAAGAATCTCTGGTGGAATATTATTATGATTATTTAGCATCTTTGATACATAAGAGAAATAGAAACTTTTCTCTTTTATATATATTTAAAACAAGTATAAAATGCACTTGAATAAATAAATAAAAAAACTGAATCAATATGTTTTCCCCATAACAAATTAAATAAGAACTTAAGTCTTTTACACATATGTCTGCCAAATTAATTTAAAATCTTTTATTCGCACAATAGTTGTTCTTGAATAAACAAAAAATATATTGTATAAGGTATACTATGTAAAAAATGATATTGACTCGAATATTATGATATAAACTATATTTTCAGCAGATATATGTATATACTATATATATACTGTATATACTAGATAATGCACGAGCCAGAAAATATTCCACTAAAATATATACAGACTACTTTATAAATGATATTGAATAACAAAGTTTTCATTTCATATGAAAAACAAGCATTAAATACATAATTAATAAGAAATATTATTGTTATAAACATAAAAAGTAGCATGTAACACAAACTCGGTCAATAATTGTAAACTCCCTTCAGAACATAAATTAAAAGTAATACCTTTTTATAAATTTCTATTGAAATTATAGTTTCACTAAAGATGACAAACAATATTGTGTTGAAGTAAAGATTTTCAAAATCATTTGACTGCTTTAAATTCAAAATTAAGAAAAACTTAATATATATATATATCTATATATATATATATATATATATATATATATATATATTCAATATTGAAAACACTACAGGTGCAACAGATATAGTACGATAAATACCTGTATATAATTCTAGAAAAATATTCTTTGACTCGCTATGTATAAAACATGCTTTGCACTTACATTGTTAAATATCCTCTGCAGCAGCTCCCAAAACATTGGGTCATTACTGGAACCACCTCTGGAGCATCTGCCAGAAATCTCAAGTACTCGACACAATATCACTACTTTAGAACCACTACATAACTTTGTCTTTTACAAGTCTATTTGACATTTTACAATTGTCCGAGTAAATTCTCTACAAAACACACAAGACACGACTTACATTAGAGACTTTTGTGAACTTAAAATTGAATAAATAGATATGTGGAAATGTGCTACCATAACCTACAAAAGTATACATATTCATATATAAATTATACAATTGCTAATTGCATATATATATAGATAAAGGATACATCAGCACTGAAAGTAAAAGGTTTAATTATAATATTGATTCGAAATGGGGGTCCTGAAAGAGATAATTATTACTATTCAAGGTGCACCTACACATTTCCCACATATCCATTTTTTAACTTTTTACAAATGTTGCACGATATATTTTTTATGTCAGATTGATCTACAGATTTAATTAAACGATTTGATGTACAATTTAATTAAAACTAATCAAGGATGTAATTAAAAACTCTTAATTAACGCGAGCTCAAGTTCATTAACAAAAATCTCTTGACATTTGAAGCAATTGAAGTTAGCAAAATCTTCCCAATCTTATACAATTTGAAGCGCGAAATTCAAACAGAAAATTTCATCTACAAAAATTATGAAGTGTTGTAATATAAAGTATATTTGTTCAAAGTTAATAAATTTGCTTGAAAATATAATTTATTTCAGTTAAACTTGTTTATGAAATTATTTTAGCTCATTAATAAATATTTGATTTCAATTTTATACTTAAAACGAGCTGAAAATATAAATTATATTCCATAAGCTCTTATAATATGATAATAATGATTTATACAGTTATCGAAAACTCAAATACAATTTTAATTGCCAGAACATAATTATTACTAACTAAATTAATAATAATTAACTTAATTACTATCAATTACATTTTGAATCTGAATAAATAAATGGACATACTTTGCATTGCATTACACAACATTCTATAAAGATCATTTACGTGAAATACTTGATTTGATAAAAAGACAATAAAAGAATATTATATGTAACGAAAGCTAGTCCACAAACATTTACACTGTCAGTTCACTTCTTCTCAATAAAACAATGGCAACTTGCTTTTTACATCATTAGTAATAATGATACATTTCTCAGATATTTCATTAGTGAGAATGAACATTTCTCAGATATTTCATCTTCCTTATTACTTATTCAAGATGTCGACAGATTGTTTCAAATCTATTTCATCAATGAGAGTGAAACTGTAACTGTGAAACTGTAAAATGTCCAGTTAAAGGTACTCCTAAAGTCTGCTTTGGAAGTAGTCCACTGCAAGAATTAAACTTAAAAGATACTCAGGATAATAGATGAACAAGCATGATGTTCAGGATAAAAAACTTGGAATCTCCTATAATGGAAAAAATAATTTGTAATAATAAAATAATAAATTGTATTAGTAAGAATAGTGTTCATATATGAAAGGCAGCTATCTACAGTTAAACTATTGACTAACATATATTTAAAACATGTAGTTATTGTTAAGTTAGTTAGTAGTTAAGTAAAACTTATTAAGTTAAGACATTAAAAATGCCTGGCAAAATTTACATTATATAATATCATTATTAATAGATTTTCATTATTCAATAAAGTTTTTTAATTATAATCATCTTATAATAAAGCTATTTTACCTCTGAGATATTAACAAGTCACAAGTTACCTAACAATTCATTTATTCAAATATTTAAGTATAACAATTTTTATACATGAGATTCATGCTTTTAAATATTCTTTTTATGAAAAAATAATTATGAACATGATTACTTATTTTTCTAAAGCTGAAGTTATTTTGTTTATATATAATATTCCAATTATTAATTGATGAATTGAAAACTTTGTCTATCAAAACTTACTTCAAATTTGCAAACTCGTATCATGCTTCATATTAAGTTCAATATTGTAAAATTCGATCATCCAAAAAAGTCAGCAGCAAACAAGCCTAGCCTGTTGGTAATCTAAACTTCATATATCAGCTGCTTTAATAACTTCCTGACAGAAGTAAAGTGCTACCTAAACATGAATAATATATGAGATATTCATCTAAATATATTATATCTAAAACATTGATGAAATGAATTTCTATGTTTTGTCATACTTAGGTAAATTTCCACCATAGTATATTATTTCCTACTATAGTACATTATAATTTTACAAGTATAAGTAAGTACTTTTTTTATCAGATTCACAAAAACTACCATAAATACACTCAAAGAAACAGAAACAAATCCTACTGGGTATACTAGTATATTCGGTATGCCAGGCTTATATATAGACTTCATTATAAGCTGCTACTCCTAAGTGATAGAAATCAAATAAAATAAGAAATTTGAAATTTTGATATGTCTAGTGAATGTATGATAAAATTGCCTAGTTCTAAAAGACATAGTGCTCTGCCAAATACATAAACTGGAAGTTTTTGTGCAACATTTTTTCCTATAGCATTGATCAACTAGTTTCATCTCGATTTAGCTACTTAAATTAATTGTAGTATTTTCAAATATATAATATTCAAACACTTTATTTCACTTACTGTCAGGATAGAATCATCTCTCAATTTAACAGCTCTATCTTCGAATCTTTTTGAAATTGAGATTGATGTTGATTAAAGATTTCTGCTTCAGATGAAAAAATTAGAATACTGTGCTGTATTTTTGCAATGTAATCTCCTTTAGAGCGGTACTTTCCTAAAGAATTGTTCATTAATATAAAATAGTCACTTCGCAAAAAAAAGGATCTATAGATTTACAATAAAGGCGATGTAATTGTCTTTTATAACCCCCCTTAGTTGGTTATATTTTTCCCTGTTTTCAATATGTTTCTTCATTATTCTCCTTTCAATTTATAAACTGGCTTTATGAGTAATGCGCAATTAGAATTAATTAAAAACCACAACTACAACAAAAACTTGAATAATTTAATCTTGATTGAGATGCATTCTCATCAACGGTCACACGATAAATGATTTCGTAGCTGTCAAATTGTATCCGGCGCGCAGAATGCTCTATACTCTTCTTTTATCTATGTATGTAGCAAGAAAGCGGGGCCAACCAATCAAAAAGCAGGATGAAAATTGTCAAGAAATCAGGACCGTATTTTAACTTTTACATTTTTTAAATAAATATCTAAATTAATTTAAAAATCATTATAATAATTTTATTTGCTCAGATAATACTTATAAATGTATTTTCATTTTTAAAATACGCTGCGACTAACTAATAAGAACAGGATATTGTAAATATTAAATTTTTGAGAGAATATTGGCGGAAGGTCAAAAATTGTTTTATATTTGCACGAATAACTAAATTGTCTCTTATAGTAATTGTCTTTTATACGATGCCTATTTACTATTATTTTAAATGTTTATACAATAATATTAATGTTAAAATACCATTCCCATCACCAAAACTTATTAAAATATCCCAAAACAATAAATTGACATTTTTAATTTAAATAAATATTCAAAATAATTACCCCTAACATTTCAGCAGACGGTCCTGTGCGATAGGAACGTGCTGTCAAATTCAGAATTGTGACTGTTCCCCTGGCAGAATGACGAGATTTTGTATGAAAAATTAATTTTGCCGAACATTTTTCGAACTGAAATGCATTCATACTACCAGGGTAGCAGACGCAAATCCGAAGAGGGAATTGCGTCAGTATTGCGCAGGGCCGCCTACTAAAATGTTAGGGGTCAAATGTTAGTGGTTGTTCTTAAATGTTTGTAATTGATTAAAAATAATATTTATATATGGCTATTAATATTGTTTATCAAGAGGAACCTGAAAAATTCATTAAATCACGTATATTTTATAATAAAAGAATCAAATTAATTTATTTATACATTTATTTATATAGTTTCAAAATATTACAAATATAACTTGAAAACAATGTATAACTTTAAAACTAATATATAATTTGTCCAATATATAATAAGATACATCTGAAAAATAACATTTCATTTTTATTAATATATCACAATCTATTGCATTAATTGTGCAATTTAAAATATCTATTAAATACATATCATTATTACATTCATATACATTTTTTTAAAATGCATTTTTCCTTGCATTCGTAAAAATATTTCTCAATCTATAACAAATTTTGTACGTAATATAAAATATCTATGGAATAAAAAATAATGAGAGTAAGTAAATCTAACAAGAATAAGTAAAAATTTGTGACCCAAATTTTATAGGTACATTCGTTTTTTTAATTATCTCAAAAATTAAGCTTATTTATTTAATAAGACACATTCAAAGTTTAAATAATTAAGTTACAATAAGAATTGTACCTACATCTTGCCAGAACATACTGGCACTTTTTCATCTTAACAATATCAATATATTAATTAGATTAAACATCATAGGATCATCATCATTAGATTAATCATCAAAAATTTGTTTCAAAGAGTTCATAAAAAATTCTATACAAAACACTTTACAAGAAATACTTCACTGGACTAAAAAGTCAATATAAAAAATACATAACTAAAACAAGTTCTTAAAATTTACACTGTCGTCTCACTTATTCTCAAAGAACAAAGACTCCTTTATTTGCTCCAACTCCCTTGGTACATGATTATAATATTCATGCTCACATATTTAATATTATTCATCTTTTTTGTAGTCTGTTGTCTCTGCAAGCTCACATATTACTTCAACTCTAAGAAACTGTGAGAGTCCAGTAAAAGGTATTCCAAAAGTCTATGGTGGAAGTGGTCCGTTGTAAGATTCACGACTCAGAAGATACTCAGGAGTCAGAAAATCTGAATAGGCAAGTTGCTCTGGATTCTTAGAATTCCCTATAATGAACAAAGTTTAGTTGTAAGCATAAATAATAAAATGTACTAGTAACATTAATTAAATAATTAGCTGTATTCTATATTAAATATACACCATATACACAATGTTGATAACTATTAAACAAAGGCACATCAACATCAATATCAATTCATTGACAAATAATTAAAACTAAGTGTTGCTTTTGTACACCTAAGAACACAATATTTGATATTCAGTTCTTCAAAGTACTTGATGATTAAACAATGAATTTGCATTATGAAAAGGATTGTAAGATTTGTAAGTATAAAGCTGAAGTTGTATATACAATTCAATCGATTGTGTACATTCATCTATATTTACTTGAATTGACTTCTGTACTATTTTCAGTTTGTTTTTGTGTCCTGTGTAACTATAACTATTTATATATTTGATATTTTCTTAGATTATTGTGAGTGAAAAGTACTTTTGTGCAAACTTGAGATTCATAATTAAACTATGAGATTTTCTTATTGTTTATAAATTTGATTTAGTCAAATGATATTGATAATTTTATGTGATTAAAACTGTAGAATTTCTTATTGTTTTAAAACTGTAGAAAACTAGAGTGAATTGTTATATCATTGGAAAATATAATTGTAATCGTAGTTGCATAAGTTTTCATTTGAATAAAATAAATCTCACATACAATAAAATAGTATTCAACATTGAATAATAGTACATAAAATGTGGCCAAACTTACTCGAAGCTATGTTTTGCAATTCTTCATCCTTTCTCTATTCACTAGATATTTCTGGGATGACACTTAAATAGAATTATCACATTAATAATGATCAATATATCATATTTGAGTTAAATTGTTATTGTTGCTTGTTTTTTCATAAGTTATAAGCACCTGCAATAAGAATATACATTTAAAACAAAAATGCATCTAAAATACCATTATATAGTCATTTAGTGTTGCAAACTATATCTATCTATAAATTATTTGTAAGTATAAAGCTGATTCAATAAAGAATTCATCTAGAAATACTTATAATCCTACTATTTACGGATAATATTAATTTTTACTTTGATAATGAAACTTTGATAATTATAACATTGTAACGATTTAATTACATGTTTGATTTGAATAAATTACATAAAAATAAGTTGATATAAGAAAAATAAAATAATAACTACATGATTTTCATTTGAAATACATATAATAATAATCAATTTGCACTTACTGGATATTTAAATGTATAATTGTATATATAATTTCTGGGATGACAAATAGAATTATTACATAATTCATCAATATATCATATTTGAGATAAATTATTTATGTACCTTGCTTTTCTACAAGTCGCAACTGCAAGACAAATATACATTTATATCAAGAATGCATTTAAAATAACATTATATAGCTTATCTATAAATTATTACTATTTACGGATAATATTAATTTTTATTTTTATAATGAAACTTTGATAATTATAACATTGTAACGATTTAATTGTACAATTGTAAATATAATTTATATATTCACAGAATAACTCAAAGAATATTGGTGCTTTTATGTTTTTAAAACAGAAGTTTAATATACTAGATTGAATTGGTTAATTTATCGAAAAATATAATTAGAATTGTAGTTGAATATTTAAGTTTTGATTTGAATAATATAAAATTCACATGCAACAAAGCTTACTCGAAACTGTGATATTCTATCCATCATCCTTGTTTTTCTGTTCAGAATTTGAATAGATCAAAATGGTATGCCATTACATTATGCATCAATATATCATATTTATAGTTAATATAGTATTTGAGTTAAATTATTTATGTTCCTTGTTTTTTTATAAGTTATAAGCACCTGCAAAAAGTATATAGATTTAAATATTCAATTTCCGTAGAAACTAAAGCAGCTAGAACACATTTAATTATGTATAAATTAACATATTTAATTTCCACTCAAACCAAAGCAGCTAGTACACATATAATGATGTATAAATCAATATATAGATGTATATATCCAATTCCCATAACGATTGGCCATTATTGTTTTGAATTCATATTCACTTGTCGTCGAAGAACTGTCAAACGTTTGACATGCGGGTCAGTGGCGCCATCTGACACAGAACCATATGAACCCGGTAGTCACTACGTAGTTCCCAACGAACTGGGAACGATTTTGCATAGAGGCGCTGCATGCAATCGCCTCTATGAATCTAGGAATCTTATTGGATTCCTTTATATGCTTTTATATGAATTCAACTGGACGTTAGTTCCTCACGAACTGGGAACGATTTTGCATAGAGGCGCTGCATGCAATCCCTCTATGAATCTAGGAATCTTATTGGATTCCTTTTATGGCTTTTTATTTTATAATTATGGCCCCGGGAAATATGAATATATACATTTATATATCGCTTAATACGCCATTATATATATAATTATTAAGGAATATCAATATATATATATTTATATATCCATTTTCCACACAACTTAAGCAGCTAGTCCATATTTAGTCGATTGAAACATATATTCCTAAACATTCCTATTTGTAATTAGTGCAATCATAGTAGAATGCACTAAATGTGCAATTGTAAGAAGTCTTTCAAGAGAAAACTATAATTATTTTCAATACAAATTTTAATGTATAAAATAAAAGTTCAAATGTTATAAATAATTTCTAATAAATATTCTCAACTGAAAAAAACAGTTTATTCACATATAATATTATATAACATTAATTTTGATAAAGCAAAAGCAATTTATGAATTCACAAGATTTTATTGTTCTGTAAGGAAAAACAAGATAATATATATATATATATATATATATATATATATTATTTATTTATTTATTTATACGCCAATCGGCTTTATACAGTTTTATAATGTTTGTATAAGTTTGCTAATTCATAACTATAAATATATATATTAACTAGTACATAATATATAACTATAAAACTAATATATAATTTATTCTATATGTAATAAGCAACAACTGATCAACTGATGAACTGATCTCTCGAGATATAAAATTTAAAATAAAATTATATCATTTGTTGTACACCCCTGATATTACAAGCTGCTAATCACTGTCATCATATTAGATTTCTAACAAGTCCAGATTGAAATCTTAGAATCCCTGAGCTTTAGCTGATATTAACGGTCCATATTAACTTTTCTCAGACTATCGTATAGTAGCTGACATTAACATTCTCTCACCTAGTCGGGAACCTAGTGCTGCATATTATACCTATCTATAAGTTATTACTTTCTACAGATAATATTAATTTTCATTATTGATTTTTTTTGGATTAAATAAATTACATAAAAATAGGAATTAATATCAGAAATATAAAATGACTACATGACTTCCATTTGAAATATAATAATGATCAATTTGTACTTACTGGGCATTTTTGATAATCAGATCATCATCTTTCATATAATACATGGTGATTTTTAATAAAACGACATAATTGTTTATAAATAATGTACATATGGAATTAAGTTGTACTAGTACACATCTAATAATGTATAAATCAATATATACCATTATGTATCTAATTTCCACACATACTCAGATAGTAAGTACACATCAAATCACATCAACAAATAATGTATCAATCAGAATATACATTAATATATCCGATTTCCCCATAAGACAACATTATAGTTTTGAATTTATATTCATTTCTCGTCGAAGAACTGTCAAACTTTTGACGTACAGATCGGTGGCGACATCTAACACAGAACCATATGAACCCGGTAGTCACTACGTAGTTCCCGACGAACTGGGAACGATTTTGCATAGAGGCGCTGCATGCTCCACACTTGAAGCAATATGGCGGGAATTTGAATTTAAAATTATATATTTCTTGATGTATAAATCAATTTATACATTTATATATCTAATTTTTAGACAAGCCAAAGCAGCTAAGCCACATATAATAATATAAAAATCAATATATACATTTATATATCCAATTTTCATACAAACCAAGTCAGCTAGACCATATATAATAATGTAGCATAATAGAATAAAATAATAAAGTACGAGAAATATATGCATTTATATATCCCATTCCCATACAAACTACGACAGCTAAACCATATATAATGATGTATAAATCAATATATACATTTATATATCCAATTTCCATACAAACTAGAACAGCTAGGCCATGTGTAATGATGCATAAATCAATATATACATTTATATATCAAATTCCAATATAAACTACAGCAGCTAGATCATATATAATGATGTATAAATCAATATATACGTTTATATATCCAATTTCCATACAAACCAGAACAGCTAGGCCATGTATAATGATGTATAAATCAATATATACATTTATATATCCAATTTCCATACAAACCAGAACAGCTAGGCCATGTATAATGATGTATAAATCAATACTTACATTTATATATCCAATTTCCATACAAACCAGAACAGCTAGGCCATGTATAATGATGTATAAATCAATATATACATTTATATATCCAATTTCCATACAAACCAGAACAACTAAGCCATGTATAATGATGTATAAATCAATATATACATTTATATATCCAATTTCCATACAATCCAGAACAGCTAGGCCATGTATAATGATGTATAAATCAATATATACATTTATATATCCAATTTCCATACAAACCAGAATAGCTAGACCATGTATAATGATGTATAAATCAATATATACATTTATATATCCAATTTCCATACAAACCAGAACAGCTAGGCCATGTATAATGATGTATATATCAATATATACACTCATATATTCCCACCGCGGTTTTGTGTAACAAACACATTTTATTCAATTTGAATGTGGTATCAAGTTAAAACCATGGACTACCATCCACGGTTTATTTTAAACACATCGATAATTATTTCGATAATATATATTGAATAATATCAAAAACTCTAATTTGGAGCAGCTCTTTTCTATAGATGTAATATTGTTGTATGAATCAATCATCAATCTATTCTGAAAATATCAGTTCAAAACTAAAAACCATTGATAAACTTTTCCCATTTTTATTAATCATAAAATCAATCAAATTAAAACAAATATGTGTATGATTCACAATTCCTAATCTCTACATATGCTTGTGTCTACTGTACACATTTTGATATCATAAGTTTATAACTGAATCTTTAAAGCCGAAACATAATATATATAATATACTATGTACAAATCCATTAGGTTAATTTTAATTCTATAAATTTACTAACAACTATGTGCCTCTTCAAGTAACGCTTTATGCATTTTATGAGGTGGGTGAGAAAGATTAAGAAATTGGACCAGGACAGCAATTTTACAATGATATATATATATATATATATATATATATATATCATTTATAGCTCCTTTAAAAGGAATATATTACCAAGAATAATTGCACACAGTGATCAAGTATCAGAGTAATTTAGTATGATAAAATTAAACTAACATAAAACTATTTCAATCATAATATATTCATCAATTTTAAATAAAAACAAGCGTTCACAATTAAAATTAACGATCTACAATAGAACGTAACATAAATTTTAAACAGACATATGCTATGTGTTTCATGTGTATGGTGTAAGACGTTAGGGTACATAAATGTATCAAATATACATGGATATACACACATATATATGCAAGAGCATTCACTGAATATAAATATTTACATATATATGTACATATATGCATATAGTTATATAAAAAGGATGCATATCTTTTTCATTTCTAAAACATATTAATAAAATTAAACATTATTAAATTTACAATTTTTTTAGCATGTGCTGATATATAGGTACATGTCATTCTTAAACAACTTTTTTTAAATCGATACCTATACATAAGCACATACAAAATATATGCACATTTACTATAATTTCACAGAGCTTAACCAACTTGGCTTAATTACGCATTCTGTACATCGTAATTTAATTAAATATGTTTACATTAAAATAAAACATTTAAAAACTCATCTTAAAACAATACATATATGAGTGTGTACCAGCATATATGCATGCATTGTTTAAAATACATATACACGTACATACATACATGTTACATGTATTGCATACATAAAAATGCAAATAATATTGCAACAAATTCAATTTTAAATTATGGGTGATATGATTTTACAAAGGATGAGAATATGTATGCATATATATATATATATATATATATATATATATATATATATATGCATATATAAACAAATTCAAACATATCTGCTTACATAGAGAATTATATATGTTTTACATTATTTTCTTCTCGAAATATAATTAGAGTACCAAGTTACATGCATGTGTACACTCATATGTATACTTATATATATATATGTTTCAACGTCGAAAAAAATATCAAGATATATATATATATATATATATATATATATATATACATGTACATAAATATTGTTTACAAAACTTGATCCTAAGCCATATATCTTCTAATGTTTTATACACATCATGCCATTACAACAGATGTATCCTAGTTTAATGTATCCTAATTTTTCAGGATGTTATATCCGAAGACACAATCATTCTGGACACAAATTTTTAGATAATAATGTATCTGTAACAAAAAAAAATATATTTATAATAGATTTATATTTATGGTTATATATTTTTATATATTATAGAAGAAAAATTATGTAGTAAGAACTAAATATTTTTATAAAAACTTCAGTATCTACAAGTGATACATAATCATTTATCACTTGTACATGCTAAACTATATATATATATATATATATATATATATATATATATATAATACTAACAACAATATACATGCACTAACCTGCTTATAATTGTAGTCATAGAAACGAAGATGCAGCATTGAGATCGAAGATGAAACAAAAAGTTGTGAATTCTTTGTTATTATATGTATGTATGCATGCATATAATCTGATGCTACATTATATATATATATATATATATATATATATATATATATACTTGCATTATATTCCGACAAAATGGATCTTAAAAAACTAGTTCATGACATTAGAAATTATTTCAATGTGTGATAATATATCTATTGCATATACATATAATTTCTTTTTTAATTTATACATATAATAATAATAATAATATGCAATTTTAGTGATCTACCAAAGGTTTAATCATTTATAATTCAAATTATTCAATCCATTTTAATATTTGCTAATTTCCAATATTATCTCTAAGTCTATATTTATATGTTTATGTGTGCATATATAAATATACATATGCTATATATTGTAAATTATAAATATATGCACACATTATCAGTGTATTCTTTGACAAAGGTCAAAACTTTTAAAGTCGCAGAGACAAAAATTCGCTTAGTGTGTCTTGTGATTAAAGTCATTCATATAAACATACAATTTTGGGATATTATTTTCTACCAAAAATCTTAACTTATACTCTTTGCATGTATATATTAAGGTTTAAAATATTTTTTGCCAACGCACTAAACATATTATAGCAGTTTATATATGTATTAGCCAAAATGTGGCACATATGTTTACACATAATTTGTAACTTGCATATAATCATTTCGCATCATATGTACATATAGATACATATAATATATAAATAAATATGTATGCATATATGTACATATTTCATACATACTAACAAACAATCCATATACACGTAGCTGAGATTTTCATATAGAATAAAAATTTTAATATTGTTTTATATGCAGTGAAGTAGAAAAAAAACCTACTTGATCTTAAGATTTTTCTTGGTGTTTTTTTAAAAAAGTAAGAAAAAATCAAAAAAATAATATAAATGTGTATGATTATGTATTAAAAATATATATACTTGATGAATCCAAATACATGAGAATGTAAATATGTAGCAAGGCAGAAAATGCTTGTAAAATTTTGTTTATAAGAAATGACTTTGACAATCACATTGAGCTTCATTTAAAATTTTAGCCCACCACCTATTTATTAAGCCCCAGAAAGTCTTAAAAGATTTTTAATTAATTTGTAACATTATTTGTTATCTTTCCTATAATATTATTAAGAATTTACTAAATTCTGTTAGATAATATTTTCTGCTAATTTGTGTTACACTCACTTTAGACGCATTACTCAAAACTCATTGATACTTTGCCAATTGTAACTTTTTAAAAAATGTTGGTCATTTCATACAATTAAATATTGTATCACAGAAAGTCACTAAATCTTCAGGAAATATTTATGAAGATCTCATAATAATCTTAAACGACATTCTTGCAAGTTGTAATAGATAGACGTATAAATTACAAGAATTTGGCAACCGGATGAGAATATCATATGTTGTTCACTAACCAAAAAAATTACGTGATATAATTTCGTACACATAATCCTGGATTATCCAATAAATCCTTTTATGTTTCTTTTGCCAAATGATTAATCCCAAAAAATTAAAAACCCATGAGTTTTTTATACATGTTTTATAACTAGTTCTTGAAACTAAATACATTCCATCATCAAGTATTTCTTTAAAAAAAATATATTTATATTTATTTTGATGAATAATTTGAAGATTACATGAATTTAAAAATCTTTTTAAATATAATATATCATATCAATATAATATAATACTCGTATATCAATATGATATAATATATCATTTCAATATAAATAATATTAAATGAATATGGTAAAAATACATTTTAACTTTATGTAATCATCAAATTTTTCATCAATATTGTTATATAGTGAATTATCCTTTGACAAAAAAACATGTTGATGGAACTTATCTAGTTCCGAAATGTAATTAGTAAACATCTATAAACAACTTACTATTTCATATACATTTATATATATATATATATATATATATATATATATATATTATTATATATATGATTTAGTTGTTAATTTTGATGTTGAGATATATGAGTAAGTTCTTGTGGGGCAATACATCAAAAAAATAAAAAGCAAAAATTTATAAATTAATCTTTAATTCCAAACGTTTCGACATTCAATTTAATGTCATCATCAGTAGATATTAACGTTGGTAGGTTACATCTAAGATGTGTACACAACACTAGAAATTAGCACTAACATTTCACAAGTTGTGGCAGAAATTACTTAATTTTACTCACATTTTTGTTCAAATAAAACTATTATTTTTCTTTTTACATATTACAAAAAAATGATAAAAATTCATAGTGTGGACAAGTTAGATGTATAAATGTTAGTGCTAATTTCTAGTGTTGTGTACACATCTTAGATGTAACCTACCACTGTTAATATCCACTGATGATGATAAATTGAATTTCGAAACGTTTGGAATTAAAGATTATTAAAATCTTGCTTTTTATTTTTTTGATGTATCGCTCCACAAGAACTTACTCATATATATATATATATATATATATATATATATATATATATATAATGTATATGTATATGTATATTTATATTTTTCATGTTTGTTTCAGTGTTGATATATATGAGACATTTTATAGTTCAATACTATAGTACATTATTTTCATTCTAGAATCTCTCATATTTATATATAAAAATACATATACATATACATATATACATATATATATACACACATATCTATATATATATATATTATATATATATATATATATATATATGTATATATGTACCTATGCATAATGAATAAATCATTATGGGCATTTTTATGACGAATACAAGTACTCTTTATTCCGAGAAAAATTATTATATTGAACGTGATCATTCGAAGGTGGTTATGCTAAAGATATATTTCATTACTTAAAGTAAGTACTTTCTCTAGAAGTTGAAAAGAATTAAAGACATAGTAAATAGTTAATTCTTTATAGTGGCAGCATTTTGAGTGAAAACTTTGAAGAAAAATTTTAAGGTCTTCTTACTTAAGCTTAAATAAGCACTACTTTAAAATATTACTTGCAAGAACAAAATATCAACAACTCAGAGACAAATTTGTATTAATAATGAGCATGTATATAGTGTACTAAAAAACTAAAAATGTACAAACAACTATAAAATAATTTGCATAAATATATATAATATATGTATGTACGTGTATTTGTTTTGTTTGTTATATTTTCATTTATATATCTATTACACATCGCGTCTTGTATATCTATTTTACTACTTGATTCTCATCCCGCTCACTGATTTCCTTCCTACCCTCTATTCCCTAAGTCATCCCCGAGCCGGTGGCGGTGGCCGCGGCGGTCACGTCATGCTGGCGGCTGCTGGCGGACACCGCCAGGTCGGCGGCGCTGCTGGTGGCACCGGTGGCGGCGGGTGACAGTGGCATCAGCCGTGCCGACGGCGGCGTAGATGACGTGACTCCGGCGGCTCCTGCTCCGCTCCCTGCTGCCGTTGACGAGTCCGCCGTGGAGGAGACGGTGGTGGAACCACCGGTGGGGCCCGCGGACGTGCGAGGTAAAGGGCGGAGTTCAGGCTGGGTTGTATGGACAGTTCTGGAAGAAAAATGATTGATTGAAAAATGATTAGGTATTTTAATTTAAACAGCAATTAAGACAAATGGCTTATTTTTGAAAATGCAGTAAGTGAATTTTAGCCTCTACTATTTTAAATTATTGCTTTGGGCAGTTATAAACACGTTTGTATTAGTAAGATCTTTAAGAGTTTATACAATGACCAGACGAAAGAAAGTCGACAATTAAAACACATATGAAATTATATTAGTGCAAAATTGCGAATAAGATGTTTATTTTAGAATAATCTAGCTATGACATTAAACATTGGAAAATAATATTAACACTTTTCCTCTATAAAAAATTCTAATGTAATATAATGAATAATGAAGATTAAAATTTAATATTTTTATAAATATATCTACATATAGCATATATTTTCACACGTATTCAAGTATTTAGTGTTACTTAGTTGCTTTATCTCCTACACGTTGAATTTAATTAATTTAATTAACTCTATAACTAATAACAAACTTATCTGTTTAACAAAATTAAAAAACTCATTGGTAATAATCCGACCAACCTACAGATTATATATAAGAACAAATTAAACTAAACATTTAAAACTAATTATGAATTAGAGTTAAAAACTAAATTTATGTACACAGGTCACAAATTTAGTTTTTTAAATCTAATACTACTGTACATAAGTCATAAATTTAGTTTTTCAACTGTAATTCATAATTAGTTTAAATGTTTGAACTACTGATAGCTTGGTGTTACAATTATGTTAATTAGCGTAGTGTAGTGTTTAATTGTTTTTATCTGTAAGTACCTATCTTTAAGTCCAATATGTTGTATCAATTTTCTTTTCTAAATTAATTATAAAAAAAACTTTTTAGTTTTCCACCGAATGATGGTCTCGATGAAGACTGAAACGTATGGATTAATAACAAAGCTGTTTTCCTAATTGCCTTAGTTTTTTTTTACTTGGTGATATCGCATGACTCAACACACTCGTTTTAATATATATTATATATATATATATATATATATATAATCAACAAGTTATGCAATAATAAATAAATAAGCTAATAAATAAGTTAAGCATAATTTTCCCGATAAGTGGTCTTTACCATGAATAATAGTAAGAGTATAACTAGATAATCCTAGATTATATAAATGAATGTAAGTTAAAACTACACTTGAAGATTTAAGCAAAATAAAATACCATTTTTTGGGGTCATAATCAGTCAAATAAGTATATAAGACTCCATCTTCATATCCAAAATTCTTATAGTAAAAACAATTACTTAAGATTAATATAAAATAGGATACCAGTAATCAATGAACTATTCTAAGAAGCACAGAACAAATATTAACAGAATAAAATAACATTAAAAAAAACTTTTTTGTAGCTTAGAACTTGTAAGCAAATAAAATTCAACCACGAATACGATTTTTACTGAAACTTTTTTCAATATTGAATGGCTTACAAAACTGGTTTATCAAATTATTTGCTCAGATTGTTTATATATATATATATATATATATATATATATATATATATATATATATATTGGTGAAACTAGCCAAACTTTAAACGTTTCAATTCTAAACGATTTAAAACTATGCTGGCAGAACACATACACACATCACAACACAATATAACCCTTTTCACTGTATTTTATTATGAATATATGTAATCATAAAACGTTTTTTTTGAAGAACATTTCATACATCTTTATGGAGAAAAAGCAATGCATAAATGCAATGGCGTTTCATCCCTCCGAGATACAAATAGTTGACTTTTGGGTTTTGTTTCAAATAAATGTGTCAAAAATTTAATAATCGGTTTCACAGAGTTAAATCTATTTAAGAAATTATTTTAAAATTACTTTATAATAATATTTTCAGTTAGTATGCAACTTAAAAAATTGTTCTCTTAGTCAAATCTCTTATACCAGGCACCCCTGTCTGACTGAGATATGGAAATGTATATATTGCTAAACAAATAAATAAAAAAATTAAAAAAGTGATATATATTTATATAAATATAACAATTTCAATGTTTTTAATATAAAATAGTGTTATACGATTCTCATAATCATAGATTATTAATATCACCATTTTTAATATCAGGATAATCTGTATGTACTTTTAACTATTTATTAAGTTGCATATTTTTGTCTTTTTTGCTACCCCATAAAATTTAAAAAGCCTTAATTTTTTATATATATATGCAACAATAATAAATAATTACAAGTACTTACACAGTTTATCATTAAGCAATTTGCTTATCATAATAAAAAAATTGTAATAATAATAATCCATGGTATGAATATATCGTATAACAGTACACAAAGAAGGAGCAACTGGTGCACTTTAAATATTTTTCTGCAACCTGCCCAACATTTCCAAGATAGAATTTTATTTATTGATCTCTCCCATTAATAAATTAATTATAATGCATTGTTTTCTTCTGGGATTAATTTATGACATATTCACTTTTATTAATTTTGGATTTTATATTATTTTCATTAGTATTTATCAAACTTTGTAAATTATTAATAAGTGCAGCCGCCACAAATTTTTAACTTCCCGTAGGGTAAGTTATAGTAATCGCAAAAAAAAACAAAAATGAAATTTTTTATATATCTTTACGTTTCAGAGGTTTCTGAACATTTTGGCATACCTTAGAAATAATGTATGTATGTGTGTATGTGTGTATGCGGATACAAATTTTCGTCGACGATTTCGGGAACACGGTGCAACCGCTTTCAATTATTCAAAAAACATTAGATTGCTCTTAATAAGGAGACATGCTGATTAGTTTTTGGCGAAGGCAGGTCTAACCGTTCCGAAGATACGGGGCAAAAAGTTTCTAAAACGGTAACTCAGTTTTTAAGAGAACGGAGCGTCCGATTTTAATAATTCAACAAACATTTTACTTGTATTGACAAGATGAACAAATGATTAAATTTTTGGTAAGCAAGGTCCAACGGTTATGGACTCTCAATAAAAATAAATTTAAAAAATGTCATTTGGCGGTCAAAAATGTTCATTGGACAAATGTACATCAAATTATTTATAAATTTTATAAAGATTTTAATAATGTGTACAAATTTCGTGTGAATTTTTTTGGATTTCGTACCAAGATTTTTTATTACGGTACGGAAAGTTCCAGCAATTTGCCTTAAGGCACGATGCCATTCACCCCAATAGTTAAAATTCAAATTTAACCAATAAATGGAGTCAATAAATAAAAAAGGTTGCTCACTCCTGCACAAAACTATACAATAAAAACATTAAAATTTTTATAGGTGGCATATTAACCAAAAAATCGTATTAAGCACGACTTACTTAACAAAGTCCTACTGTATATTATTTCTTACTTTAATTTCAGGGATCAATGTTCAGTGGCGTATTATCCAAAAAATCGTATTAAGCATGATCTACTTAACTGGGTCCTACTGTATATTATTTCTTACTTGTTATTTCAGGGATCAATGTTCAGTGGCGTATTATCCAAAAAATCGTATTAAGCATGATCTACTTAACTGGGTCCTACTGTATATTATTTCTTACTTGTTATTTCAGGGATCAATGTTCAGTGGCGTATTATCCAAAAAATCGTATTAAGCAAGATCTACTTAACTGGGTCCTACTAGATCTAATTCCTTACCTTGTTCAGTGAAGTTGAACAATAGCGGCAGCTCCCTGCCGTTCGGCAGGCGCGTTGTCGTTTCTCTGAGTTCCGCGAAGAACGAATGCGCGCACGCCTGCAGCGGTGATATGCGAGCACCAGGAGTGTATTCCAATAACCGGGACACCAGGTTTATTGCCTCGCTCGGTGTCCGTGTGCGGAATACCTATATAAATAAATCATAATAAATCTATTTTATAATACAATCTATAACACAATATTAATAAAATAATTTATATTCGGGTTATACTGTATTAGGAGTAATTCATGGTATTATACATTTGTCAATTTTGTATAATTTTTTAATTTAATACTTTGCTCGGGACAATTCGATTAAGAAACAAACATATGTATGGGACATTAATCACGTGAGGTTTTTAGAGGGAGGGGGGGTCTGACAAAAAATCACGAAATATCACGTGGGGGAGGGAGGGGTATAGTAAGATATTACGTGTATTTATTTTTTAACTGATTTTAAAAAAAACTAACATTTTCAAAAAAAAGGGGCCGTTCAAGTATTACGTAAGCACTACAGGAAGGCGGGGGGGTTTTGATTTGCTTATTTTGGGCATTTTCGGTAAGAATTTTGCTTAATTTTGCTGACAAAGGGGAAGGTGGAGGGGGTTAATAATAGTAATAAATCTGCTTACGTAATACTTGAACGATCCCAAATTAAAAAAAATACAGTTTTATCATGTAACTGAAAATACACGTTATGTTTGGTGGGGGAGGGGGGGAAATTTTGAATATCACCATGAATCACCAAGGGGGAGGGGGGGTCCAAAAATCTTCAAAAACTCGCTCACGTGATTAATGGACGCCCCCATAGCATAACGTTTTGAAAAACATTAGAGGCCGTTCAAGTATTACGTAAGCACTATAGGGGGGCGGGGGGTGTTGATTTGCCTATTTTGGGTTGACATGGGGGGCAGGAGAGTCTGGATGATGATTACGTCATAGCTAGTATTTTTATTTTTTACATTAATTACAAAATTTTTACCTAAGCATGGGGGTAAGAGCTTTGCTTAGTTTTGCTGACAAGGGGGAAGAGGGGGTAAATAATTGTAATAAATCTGCTTACGTAATACTTGAACGATCCCTAACTCGTGGTGTTATACATTTGTCAATTTTGTATAATTTTTTAATTTAATACTTTGCTTGGGACAATTCGATTAAGAAACAAAAATATGGCAAAAAGTTTTTTGTAATCAATTAATGAAAGATAAATAAGAGAAGTCGATATCACACAAAACGTATATAGGGAGATTTTTTATATAAAGAGATATTTATTGGAATGATGAAATCAAATGAAAAAACTATTTGTGTGATAGTAAAGCCAGGCACATATATTAAGGTGGTATTTTAGTCTATAACCATTTTAGTCTATGTGACTTTTGTCAGGATGTAAAAAAGGCAAATAATATGTTTACTATACATTTTTTTGTAAGTTATTGTTAAATGTTTTAGGAACCCAAAAAAAATCCAAATTAATAGTCTAAAAGCAGATGATAAAGTAGAAAGTCTAAAAAAATTGCCATGTGACCATACTCCTGATTTTAACCCTCCAAATATTCTGATAAATAAAAAAACAAAAAATAATCTAGAATAATGTTACATTCGTATGAATCACTGACAAGAAAAAAAATTCACAAAATAGCGACAGCCTGGAAAAGAATGCCACTTTTTCTGTTATAACTCATTTCATTTTACAACTTTATTTGATATTCCCAAGTTGTTTAAAGATGATAAAAATTTAAATTTAGGGACGAGCAATTTATACTGATAAGAAGTCTATAAAGAGAACTCTGTAAGAATTTCAAGTAAATCGGTTCAGTAGAAGTGGAGAAATCGTGGGGTCTCCTGTTGAAAGTTACGCAAAGGAAGGAAACAGAGAAAGATTATCGTATTCAACATATCTCTAAAAATAATGTGCATTTTAAAAAAACCTCTTTCACACATATTCTTGAATAGTTAAACTTTAAACATATTTATTTTTTTTTTAAACGATTTCTTACAACTGCTAAACTAGAATACCCCCTTAAGTGTTTGGCTGTATCATCTATAGAGGCTAAAGATAAAACTAATCATTTTATGCGTTTTGCAAATGTATAATAAAACAGTAATAAGTTGAAAAAGTTTGAAATCTGGAGACTAAAATACATAACTTCTTATTTAAAAATTGTTTATGCCTTATGTCATAAAGGAAATTAGAAGCTGTCCAATTCCAATTATAAGAAAATGAATCAATATTCTTAGAATTTGAAAGATATCCATCTGTTAGAAGTTATCGTTTCATAGATAACATCAAATTATACCATTGATTATTTGAAAAATACTGAAGACTTAATTGCAGGGATTTTTAATTTTCTTAATCGACAAAGAATGTAAAAGTATGAAAAGATGATTCAGAATTGGATGAAATACATTTTATTTCTGAATATATTCAGATATTTTTGTTAAGTTTAAGCGTGACAGACAAACAAGCGACAGACAAAATGAACATTTTGTGATCAGCGATATAATTCAATTACATAATAAAACTATTTGCAATAATATACATTATTACTCAAGTTCCATCAGTAATTTGCATGAATTGTTAAAATGCAGAAATATTTAAACCCAGTAAACACGGCATGGTATTAGAGAACACAAAAAACAGTCAACTAAACTCAATATTCAACAAATTATCAAAATGCCTGAAAAATGATCAAACCAATGTTCTTATTAATCACATGTTTAAGAAGAGTACTAATTTTTATTAGAGCAAAGTATGTAAAGCTTATATCGCAGGCTCTGGAGATATTGGCTATCCCACCAATTGAATTTTAAACTGTGTTATTTGCTTGAAACGAAAAACAAAAATAATTTTCAATAAAAGAAATCAAATATGTCAAGAAATACTGTTTTTGCGTTCCTACTACCACACTTACACGAATTCGCTGGTGTTCAGTTGTGTCTGAGCTATTTATCGGAAGAACAGTTTTCTCCAATAACAACTGAAAATGGAGATCGTTTGTAAATATCACATACGATCATAAAAATAATATTAAGTTGGTCCTATTAGTAGTAAGTAATCCAATTGAAATTTGTAAGCCTCGGGTTAAAAACTAGAATATACACTAAAAAGATGTTCAGAAAACCATATTCGAAGAAAAATAAAGCTCATATATAAAAAACAATCCAGATTTAAATTAAAAATTCATGCATTACTTTAAAATCTAAAGATTATAATATCTAAATATCTATATTCTATCTGAAGACCAAAAAAACATGGAGTGAGCTTTACAAAAGTCACATTTAGTACCAGTACCTTAAAATTGTAAAGAAACTAAATGATTAGGATGACTTAAAAATGAGTAAAGCAAAAACAAAAATAATTAAATCGACTAACTGAGATATTTCTATTAAATCTTATTAGTTCATTAAGGTAGTTTATGCAGTCGAGCACTATACATATTGTTTGTTCAGCCAAGTGGCTTGCACCAATTGATGTATTTTCCTTGTATAATTACCTAAATCCAATCATTTCATTGATTTTAATTCAACTACTACTACCATAAGATATATTTAAGAATAAAATATTCATTTTATAACATTTCAATATGACTGATGGCTTTATCGATTATCTCAATATGAAGAAATCTAAATTCTTATGTTTTAAATTAAACTATAAGCATTTTTTCTTATATTATATATATGGAATCAAACAAATTTAATTTACAAGCTACAGTAGAACTCCAATTATCCGAACTCCAATCATCCGAACTCCAATTATCCGAACTCCGACTATTCGAATCGCCGATTATCCGAATCACTTTCAGAAAAAAAATTGTCCAAAAAAAGTCTAAGTGCGCTATTATTCTTCCACCAGCAAAGCCAGAGTAGGCACATTGTTTGTTTTGATTTGACGGAGATGTATACAAAACAATGATTTTTATTTCTAAACTTGTACATAAGTACATTTTATTTATATTTAAAACATGTGAAAATGTCATGTTTATTTCATTTAATTCAATAAAAAAATAGTGCAATATCGAAACGTAACTTTTTTCTCTCCAATGGCAATTTAAAAAAAAAACTCCGAATATTTGATTATCCGAATATTTGATTATCCGAATCGGTCCCGGTCCCCATTAATTCGGATAATTGGAGTTCTACTGTAGTTAAAAATTTAGACAATGTTCATGATAATAAAAAATAATCCACTGATCCGTCTCAATGAATTATTACTAGATTAGAAGCAATAACAGCAATGAAGATAAACCTACTCATATACATCTTTAAACCTCTCCTAAATTTACTTCAATTATTAAAATTGAGTAGGTTACTCCCCATATTTCACCCTAAAGCAAATTTATGTAAATATATGTATATCTAACCTTTTGCCAGGGATGTGACTTTATCTGCGGGAACTTAAATTCTGTATAGTTGGGATTCATCTCTCTAATTTGTTCCCTTGTTGGTGTCCCCAGAACCTTGATTATTTCGACCAGTTGATCTACTCCCGAATCTCCTGGGAAAATCGGCTGTCCCAGCAACAATTCTGCTAGTACACAACCCGCACTCCATACATCTAAAAAAATATCATAATAAATTAGAAAGGAAATATATAATATAATACATAGATAAGTATTGATTGATTGAAAGTGGTAAATTGATAAATTAAAAAGGAAAGCATATATAATTTATGAATAAGAGACAAATTTATTCTGGTAAATTTGTAGTAAGCAATAACAATATTAAGCAATAACAATTCAATATTAATTTATATATGATTCGAAAACTTTTTGCACTTGCCTCTTATACTACATATAAAAAAACTAGTCAAACTAAGCTTAAGTGACATTTTGCCTTAATGAAAACTGCATTAATTAATGAGAATTGAGATTTAGCCATTTCTAAAATTGTACGATAGAATTCTGAAATTTTGCTACTGCCCATTGTTCCAAACTTTAATCATTTTTTAAAATTTTTAGGACTACAATATTTTAGAATGGCCGTTTAGACCATAACTTATGTAAAGTTTCATCAAAATCGTCAAAAATAATCTTAAAAATTAGAAAAAAACGACTCGGTCAATCTAATAAAAACTAACCAACATGATTACAAAACGATATTATTCGATTCAAGTTTTTTGCGAAATCGAAAATAAAATTTTATGCACTTTTCTGCTAATCCCAAAGAAATGACTTGACCGATCGTGATGAACTGAATAATAATGCATTGCTTTTAAAAAATTTGAAGTCAGATCAGTCGTTTTTGAGAAAAGATATACACATATACTTTTTTAGACCTCAGAAGACTTAAAATCAGATTATCTTGTAAAAACAAGAACTTCTTTAATTTCATTAAAAGAAATTTAGAAACAATATATTGATAAATTAAGAGGTAAAAATTAGATCTAGAAAATTTGCCAGGAGTGTTAATATTTGTAAAGAGAAGTGTCCAATAGCATTTTTATATTTATTTACATGAGATTTAAGATTTTTTCAGTTAGCATTGAACAAGTTACAAATTACAAATTGAAAAATTAGCTAAATCATTAGATACAATCATAATGAATTTGTACAAAAATCAAATTATGAAATTTGTTATATAAAAAGTCACAGTAAACAATCAATTAATAGCAAGAAGCCAAATTAGAAAGACCTGAAGCCTTTCAAAATACCAAAGAAATGATTCTATTATTAACTTTCCGAAGAAGAAATGTTTGTTTTCGTCAGAAAATCAGATTAGTTAATGTTATGTTTTATCGATGATTCAAGTCATTTTAAATAGTTTGACACCAGCATTACAAAAAGTGTGTTTGTGAGCCAAAATTTGTCGTTTATCAACGTTTTCTCAAAAACAGCTGCACTGATCTCATAAATTTAAAAGCCGTTCGATGAAGCTCAAATTTAGTTAGTATTGCATCATTATTGGTCGAGCCGTTTCTTTATAATTAACAGTCAAGTGCAAAAATAGTCGTCCCCGTTTTCATAAAAAATCAAGATTTTGATGTGAATTCAAAAACTTCGATGTATATTATGTGGGAATGTATTGATTAGTTTTTGGTAAATATAAGTCAGGTTTTGGTGACTATAAGTTTTATACTGCAATGTAGTAGGTCTATGAGGTCAGACCGTTGTTTAGTAATTGTTTTTCTATTTTTTTGAAAAATTAAACTTTAAATAGTGGTTGAATTACAAAATTATTAGAGTAATGGGCCGATGATTTGTCCATCATGGATTAGCTGCTAATCCATGTCTAATCCGTTCTATGCTTTCTATTGATTGTACTGATTTAAGTGCTTTACTTAAATAAAATACTATTTTAGAACACATAAAACATGCTGAATAAATTAAATTTAATTAATATACTATAGTTATTATTATACAACAGACATATAAGTTCGTTGAAAGATATTAATTGAAAATGACATTGGTTAGTTTGAAGTGCAAAAAAATCATGTTCAAGACAAACCGTTTAAAAGTAAATTTTAAAAGTGTGGATCTCTTGAATTCTTATTAACTACTTAGTGCTCACATTTTTAAAATTCACTGGCTAAAAATCATCATATTTTTGTATTATTGTTGTGTTTAGAATGTTAATACAATTTGAAAAAAAAATAGTATGGATTAGTTTATAATAACAAATGAAGGAATAGAGTCACAGACTCAAAAAACGCGTTGATGTATAATTATATTTGAAGTGTTGAAGTTATAGTACATTTTTACATTAATATATATATATATATATATATATATATATATATATATATATTGTAAAATGTAATATAATATTTTATAAATCTCTTTTGGCGATCCGATTGTCCAACAAGTTGTGATAAGTCTATAGTCTAAGAATTCCTATAAACAAACTGAGTTTGTTCGTGTGCAAATTAGCATTAAGTAGTTAATTGGAAAGTTCATGAAACTTGTCTTAAGGAAAAATGCCATTTAACCTAGAGTATTATTCTACTTACCGATTTTAGTAGTGTAATCGATGGCCCCAAATATAAGTTCAGGGGCTCGGTAGTAACGCGAACAAATGTACGAGACATTTGCTTCGCCTTTGACCAAATGCTTAGCGCTGCCAAAATCACACAATTTCAATACGCCCGTTTCCGGGTCCAGGAGTAAATTCTGGGGCTTGATGTCGCGATGGCAAATGCCCAGGGAGTGGATGTACGCCAGGCTCCTGAACAGCTGGTACATGTACAGCTGGGAATAAAAAATAATAAAAGTTAAAAATAAAAATAATAATATTAAATTTATTGCTCGTTTTTTTAAAATTAACCTATTTTTATGTTGTGCGGAAAAAATGTAATATCCGGCCGGATATTACATATTAGCCTGAAATAATTTATAAGATGCATTATGTTCTGGAATGCATTAATTTCGAAGAATTTTAAGCCATTAATTATAAATTCAGAATAAAAATAAAACTAAAAAAAAAATTATAAATTAATTCAGTATATATCATTTATAATTAAAACATCTTATAAATATTGGAGATTAGAATAGGCATTAATGCACAAGACGAAATAGATTCTTTGTTAACACGTTCTTTATTTACCAATTTAAATTTATTCTATTGAAATGTATTATTTGAGCTGCTCATTTAACAGAGTTTAAAAAACATTTACAAGCTGCTATTGGTTCCGGATTCGATACCCACTTCAACCAGCTTGATATAAAGCAGTAATATAGAGTTTCAAGTAAAAATAGCATCTCGAAACCAAGTCCTTTTTTTCATGTTCTTTTTTTACCAATTTTTAAAATTGGTTTATTGGAGTATTAAAAATAATTTTTGTTTCATTACTTGAGCTGCTTATTTTAAAAATCATTTAACAAAGTTTAAAAAACATTTACTAGCAGCTACTGGTTCCGGATTCGATACCCACTTCACCAGCTTGATATCAAGCAGTAATACAGAGTTTCAAGTAAAAATAGCATTTCGAGACCAATTCTGTCATTTTCAGTTATTTGATGAAAATCTAATAAACCATCTACCAAATGGAGAACGGTTAACCACTGGGTTGCAATCTAACAACACTAGATTTAGGGTTCACTACAGCTCATAAAAAAATTCTATGATGTATAAGAATAAATTAACCTTTTATATGGTTAATATCTAATAGTTGTTCAACCAAAAGTCAAACTATGTTTTGCATAAATATGTAAAATCAATCTCTTATGTTCAAGAAAAATTTCTCTGATGTTCAAGAAAAATTTCAAAGAATAAATTAATTTTAATTTAATTAAAATAATTAAAAATTAAATAATATAAAATATATTATATCATCATACTACAGATATCATTTTAATGAAAATACTATCCTTTTGTACTCTAATTTTATTTATATTTATGTTATTGTTCATCATTGTTACTAGATGTTAAATTATTTAACAGTTGTAATAATTATTGTAATTAAAAAAAAAAAAAAAAATAATTATTAATATCAGTATTTTACTATAACTTCGTAATTCATGTTTGTTGTTTCTCATATTTCTCATTTCTTTTGTATCTCATATTTTTCAGTATACTTCAAGAAAAAATGTTTTTTACAGTGACAAATGTCGCAATAGAAAGAAACTAACTATTAACTAGTATATATTTTATATTTTTCTCAAAATTTTGAAGAATGGGCACAGCTATTATATTATTATAAACAAAAAGAGTTTTCAGGGTATAAAAGTAGTCTTCTACTTTCTTACTAAACATTTTTTAAATTCTTAGAAAAATTAACATTTTGTATAATATAATAAAGAACTACCATAATGATTGTTGATGTCAAGATTTCATTAAAAATGTTACATTTGTGCTTCCAATTTCTTCATGGTTTTAATGTATTTTTTTGATGATATCAATTATTTATATTTATATTACCTTTATAAAGCTGATAGGTATCGTCTGTTTAGATTTGGAATAATGCCTCGCCACTTTATACACCGTCTCTGGTATGTATTCGAGCACTAAGTTCAAATACACTTCATCTTTCTGAAAAAAATAAGAAAAAAATATTATAGACGAAAAATTATAATATGCACTACATTGCTAAATATCAAAATATAGAAGAATATAGCCAAACAAAAACTATAGACATTATTAAAAACTCACAGATAAAGCACACATGACAATATAGACTAAAAAACATAGAACATGCAACAATTATAAAAAACTATAAATAATATAATATAATCTACTGTGAATATTGAATACAATGAAGTGTTGTTTCTATTCTATTCTATTTAATTCATCGCTGCTAAAAAATCTAAATTTCCAATAATTTTATGAAATCCTTAACTTAATTTCTCTAAGGAAGGTTCATTTCTAAATGCTAATTACAATGACAAACCGATCATGTCATATTTAAAGTATGACTTTAATTACATTATTGTTTTTAAATATTATACATATTTTTAATGCTATTATAAATATATAAATTATAATTTATCATTATATAAATGTGTACATATAATGGTTGACACTAATAAATGTGTGCATCACGAGTGTTACCATATTACTAATAAACATTATTCAAAATCGTTATATGATGAATTTATTTTTTTTTACTTAAATGCCATCTTGTACAGTAGGAAATAAGTTGTACTTCAATCGCGTGTGAACCTTACGCGCACTCTTTTTTTATCAATTTGGAAGCAAAAAATCGAAAATAACCATGTGAAGGGCTACCGTTATATACATATTAATAAATGTGTTCAAATGTTTGTTGAAATTGGCATCATTCATATGTTCAAAATTTCTCCTTAATGATCTTAAGATTGGGGCACAAAATGAAAAAAATTGCTAGTTTAATAAATTTCTGAAAAAAATACTGGCTTTATTACTACTGAACTAGCAAACTATGAATTTTAAACTTTATGTATATACATTTTCATTATTATCAATATCTGACTGAGTTATCAAAATATTTATCATCAATCTCACTATAATAGTACATAAATATTTTAATACCAATGATTCAAGTATAACAGTACCAAAAATCAGTCATGAAATATAGGACCATAAAAATAAACTGAAACATAAAATATGTTGAAAGTTTATGAACGAAATTCGACATTATGGGGATAGTAAAACTATAATACATACTATACTTTGGATTAAAATAAAAACCCATAAAAATTTTATACCTTGTGTAGTTGATCATAATGGATTTAAATAATGGAGTCATTTTAAAATAAAATTAGATCATAAAAGGTATCCATTGACGATGTGTGAATAAAATAAAAGCAAAGTGAGAGTAAAAGGAGTATGGAAAATATACTACATATTATATTATATTATATATATATATATATATATATATATATATATATATATATAAATTCTTTTGTACTAGATGTTTTGAAGTGATATAATATTGACCCAGTTTTCTTGCAAATTCATTTCCTTACATTATAAAAAGAAATTTACTACTTTAAAAATTGTGGTATAAATTTCAGGCAACGTTCAGTGAATAATAAATATCACTTTGAAATAATTAGGAAAGATATAAACTAGCATAAATCTTCCTTTTGATTAATAAAATGAAGCAAATATTTAAAAAAATTGCTAATATATTGATCTAATGATAGATAAATCGATTGATTTGCCAAATTTTGTTAAAAACTCACTCAGAAAGGTATTATAAATTTAATCTAATTTAATTTGCGTATTATATATAATTTTAATTTTAGTTTCTGTTACACAAATTTTCTCAAATTTAATCAATTTTACTTCTGAATGATTAGGTAAAAGCTAAATTAGCACAAATCTTCCCTTTTTCTTATCAGAAAATGCCAAGTATCAACGGTTTCAATATCAATATCAAATACATTTAATGAATTATAAGAATATTAGTTTATTTCAAATAAAAATAAATAAAGTTTGTATTTTTCAAATTATAAATCAATTAATATAACAGAATCAATCAAAAGTTTGTGATATCAATACCCATTTTGTCTAACATTTTATCTAAGATATGCAAATCAATAACAATAATAAGCAATTTAAAATTTAAAATTAATTTAACCATGAGAGATGTTTTATTATATGAAGAATTATAAATAATGAACAACATTGATATTATATACAGATTAGCAATGAATTTTTATATACCTGATTAGTACAAGCACTAATTAATTTATACCAATTGTTTACAACAAATACATATTATTATTGTACAAACATGATTAGTAGTGAATATGATGCTCTCTTCAAGTAAAACTTTATGATGGTAATAACGTTGATAGGATGAATTTAAATGACATATTGTTAACCCTTTCCACTCGAATGCCGCCGCTCCGGTGCCAAAATACATGTGAAAATTGCAATTCATGAGTGGAAAGGGTTAATACTTAAAAAAAATCACTTCCTAAAATACTAAAAAATGACTAAATGGTATAATAATTTCCATATTATGGAATGTTCTTATAAACCAATTAAAATTAATGCTTCTTCAAAGTCTATATAATAAACTAAATCAGAATTTTACAAAAAAAACGAAGAATATGACTCTAACTAAGATTTGTATTAAAATATTGAAGCTTATCTTAAATCTTCATTGAAGTTGTATAAGTGAATATCATAGTTTAATTGTAAATAAATAAAACTTGATTACAGTTGCTATATTTATAAAATGCTCTTTTTAAATTGATCATCAGCCTTGCTAGGAATCGCAATCGTGATCATTTTAAAAAAAAAATAGAAATATGATTCATCAAATTTTATGTTTAAAAAATAATAAATATTTAAAATAATATAAAATAAAATTTTGTTTATAAAAATATTAAATAAAAACCAAAAAAATTTAGATTTCGCTGAACTTATTTTTTTGCATGAGCTCCAAATCTGCAGGAGAGATTCGCTTAAAATTATTTACCCATGGAAGGTAGAATAATATTGGTTTTGCCAATATATTTTTTGAGGGATGAAGTAGATATTTTTAATTTTGGGGATTGAGGGTTTGAAACATAGGTAAATTTTCTTCTAAAAAATGTATCGTGTCTATCTCATAAATTATTTTCATGTATGTATTTCTCTTCTCTATATATTAGTCACGCTATGGTGAGACAAATTCTCATCAGGTAGAATTTTTAGTAAATTACTAAATTAGGAGAATGGCAGTGATTTCCTTGATTTTTATAAAATGAAGGAGCATTTCATATGCATTTGAAGAGGACTAATTTAGAACCATAAAAGCGCCGACAACAAAAGTCATTTTTTGCAAAATTTCTTTATTTTGCGAAACTTTTTTGACGTGCTTTTTATGGACCCCAGGTACAAGACCCCAGATTGTCGCCGACAAGTCCGACGCCTGCCACAAAAAATAGGCTTGTGCAAATATCCAATTTCGTCCTAATTATTCTAAAAATCATATATGTACATTCTGTTCTATTCGCCGACAAGTCCGACGCCTGCCACAAAAAACAGACTTGCACAAATATCCAATTTTGTTCGAATTATTCTAATAATCATTTATATACATTCTGTTTCTACTGGACTATGTATGAATATTACTCTAAGCATGAGCAATTTAGCCAATGAATTTTGGTTAGTCACTCACTATGATTCAGAATTAAAATGATACCACACAATCATTTGGTATGTACAACTAATTAACTAAAAGACAAAATCTACGTAACAATTGCTTCAGGAATTGGTTAAAACAAATTTGTTTCTAACATATAATTCATAATCAATCAATCAGCTAATCATCGGTTTTTCTGTGGATTAAATATATTATAATTGAACTATAAAAAGTCTAATATTCAAATTTTGACGATTTTAAGAGACGTGAATATTATTAAAGAACTTCCATTCCAAAAATAGGATTTGAGAGCACTGCTGAATAATCAATTTGTAGATGTAACGGTTTGCTCTCCAAATTTGGCAACAAGTTGTCTTATACGTAGAAAGAAATTCTCTTCAAAACTTACTTTACAAGACATTAAGATAAATAACAAAAAACAAAAGGCAATGATGGTATCTATTCATTTTAAACTTTTCAAAAAATATTCAACAATTTTTACTATTTACCATATAGTAAAGTAAGCCCCATATAGAAAACACTAGAAAATAGATAAATATTTTATCAAAAGCCCAATATTCAGCAACGCCTTCATTTTTACAATTTCACGACCAAATAAAAAATAATTAAGATTAATGGACCGATTCTGCCGCACAATAGACCAATGTTATGACAAGGCTATGTTATGAAGAACTTTCCATACTAAATACTGAAAAAAGCCACGTGGTATCTGTGCAGCCAGGCGTTTTCCTCAGGTTGTCCGATAGAAAACCTAACCTAGAAACCGCACAAATGTCAAAAAAACTATCTTAGTTAACAGGGTCTTTCTGACCCAGCTTCATAACATACGAGTGACGTTGCAGTTTATATGTAAAACGCCTGAATGCACAGGAAATACATGACATTTTGACAGTATTCAGTATGATTCAGTAGCATTATGTATGCAAGTTGGAGCGTAACATGGCCTTGCCATAACATTGGTCTGTTGTGCTATATAACAGCATTTTAGTACCAAAATATGCCCCTTAAATTTATTGAAAAATATATTTAATTCATAGAAAATTCGGTGACTATCATCTACTATGAAACAAAAATGTTGGGACTTCAAGATCACGTTCCGAAAATGTAGAAAACTGGTTTAAACCTTCTACTTCTTTTAAATTAAAAAATGATTTATTTTGGAAGTAATTCTCTGCTGGGATAGCATTTGTGCAACTGACCATCCATTGGTCAAGCCGTAAAAAATAATGATTTCATTGAAAATGATCAAAAAGTCAGAAGTGAAATTTTCCTCAATTTTTCCATCTGCCTGTAAGATGATATATACATAACTTTTGTCAATCTGTCAACTATCCTCGCAAATTTTCGTTCGCAAATTACTTGTAATATTTTACAGTCAAATAATTTTATACGTCAAGCTCACTATATTTTCAGTGGTATAATTTTACCATCAGTTTACCATGAATCTAAAATTTTCACCTTTCCAATAAGAGCTTTATGTCCGATGCAACCAATTAATCGTGAAGCTCAGCTTTTATTGGGAAATACATTTATTGATTGATCATAGTCAAAAACAAATAACCAGTCAATCATGAAATTTAATCATAGGCTACATCAAAGGAATAAAAATAACTAAAAACAAACGTGAAATTTTTAACGTGAAATTTTTAACGTGAAGTTTCTACGTCTATTTTGTTTCATGTTAGAAGTCCAACATTTCGACTATTAATAAGTTTTAGTAAATATTAATACACGCTATCTAATACTATTTTACTTGGTTTCTAAATTCGAATTTATTTTATCCAGATACCTGAGACTGCATTGAGCCCATTAAAACTCCCATGTCTAAAGCAAACTCTGGAGGCTGCAAGCCGATATATAACAAAAACAGAGATATTATTCAATAACATTTCAGAAAATTGTGCCAAATTATGAACTATGGAAAATAATTTTCATATCTACGATTGTGTAAGTACATACGATTTTGTAATTATTAAAATAATGCAGGGGTGCCCAACCCAAACGCCAGCATTAAAGCGATGATAACCGATTCTTCAACATAATGGCAAAAATTACCACCTATTAGACAACGATAAGTGAAGACTTTTTGCAAATGAATTTAGACCAATTTATGCATATAAATGAGTTTATTCCTGTATAATTGCAAGGTTGAGCATCACTGATTGGAAATAGAGTAGAATAAAAAAACTAGTATTACAGTAAAAAAAAAATAATGAAAATCAAATTTACGAAAAGAGCATCATAGATCACTAAATTTCATGTTTGTAAAATACTCTCTTATATACATATTAGTTTCGGTCAAATTATGTGATCATTAGGGCACATTGCTAATCTGATTCTATGGGTCACTACAAAAAAACCATAGCTAAAAAGAGTATTTCGAGGCAGCGAAATTGCCAATAACTTTTAGTCTGTTGATGGAGGAGGTTCAATCGAGCCAAAACAAAACACCCACAAATATAAAAACCTATGGAAGGTTTGTTTTTTATGGAAAACTTTACTGAAAATTTCGCTGGTTCCCAAGCTATTGTTTCTTCGACAAAGTTTTGTAAAATGACCCCTAGAAGCAGAATCGCAATAGTCCTCTTTTCTTAAGCTCCAATATAATTTGACCCGCCCTAACACGCATTATAAATTTGTATACGTTATTATAAAAAATAATTATTGCAAGGTAAAAATTAAGCATCAAGGAGTTAATACGTCTATACATCCTCTAACCAGATATTTGGCTAAATACTCAAAAAATATATATAATTCGAATGCTATTAGAAATGTGCTTCATCTTATAATATTATTGTTGCTTAAATAAAGTGTAATTTATATTTAATAAGAAGGTTTAAGAAAAGCATATAGTCCATAATTATAAGTTCTTCGTCGCATTGGTGTCAGAAGTGCAAATGAATAGAACTTTGCAAAAAATATAAAATTTTACACATGCTACAAATAAATAATTAGAACCAGCTAAAGTAGAGGAGCATGCAAATCTTGATGAAAAATATCACATTCAGATGGGCTTACCTTTTCACCGCTAGAGTAGAAGAAATATTTTAACTTAACGATATTACAATGCTCTAATCTTCTCATTATTTGCAATTCACGATTCTGAAAAAAAATGAAAATATTAATACAAAAAATTAATATGCCATAATAATAAAAATTGAGAAAGATGCATGATTCACTGTTATCACAGTAGTGATTATCCAGATACCATTCAGGTACCATCAATGAATTTTTTAACCAATGCAAAAAATGCATGGATGCAGATGGTAAAATTAAGTCAAATATATTAGCAAATCATATTTTGCTTTATAAAAGCATTTTTTTTATTAAAGGTGAACAGGTAGTAACATATTCTGAAACTACATATATAAAGTAATCTATATCATTTTCACTCAACATAACTGTTTTTTCCTGAATCTTGAGAATTGGTTTTGTTGCTTCATTTTTTTGATTGGTTAAAAAATACATTGATGGTACCTGAATGGTACCTGAATAATCACTATTGTGATAACAGTGGATAGAACCTGGAAAATCACTATCGTGATAACATTAGAACTCAGCATGAAAAAGGTTTGAATAAATACTAGAGTAGGGTAGGAAATTATTTTATTATGTCAGGTAGAGGAAGATGGATTAATAAAGTTTGTGAGGCTCGAACATGCCGCAACGTTTAAAAAAACAATGGGAAATTAATGTACATGATTTTTTAACAGCTTTAATCAAATAAAAATTGGTCATATGAAATTCAAAATTAAAATTGATATTTCTCATTGCTTTTTCATAGCATAAAGTTGATTGGGAGTATGTTATATTGACTATGATTTTGAAATCAATAATCAACTTTCCTAGAAAAATTTATTATAGATTTAAAAGTAGATTAGTTCAAAATAATATAGAGTATTTGTTGGTTCAGGCTGTAAGGCCTTGCAATCGATGAAGAGATAAGTGATAATGAAATTATATATGCAGTTGATGTAAATAAAAACCAGAACATTTTTTTTCAATTTTTGCATAGATGTGATTTTTCTAAGTACAACGGGTATTATTTTAAATACAAAAAATAAGATTATTATATATTTCACCCGTACAAAATATTAAATTTCCCAGCATGGTCGATTTGAAAATATTACTAAAGCCAAAGATAAATTTACCAAAATAACCCTGACGCAAAAGTGACGGTTCCAAAACATATTTATTGACTTAATGCGATCGGTAAATTGATGTATATGCGTTCTTTATATTTCTTAAAATATTCTGGCAAATTAAAACATTAGCACGCGATTGCTAATTAGTAAAAATTACGTTTCTTTGCAATTTCTAAATTAAGAAGTCTCAAAAGAGCTCAAGGTTTGTTTCATCGGATGTGACCATTTTTTATACTGAATCGTGCTAAAATAATAATATCATTTTAAATGCTATATTTTTTTATATTTTTAAATTTTGTTTAATATGACTGTATCCAAAAAAACATGGAAAACACATAAATCATAATATCAACTGCAAAAAAAATTTATAGTTGAAAATAATTATTTACAATTAAAGAAGAAATGCCAAAGTCATTTTTACATTGTCTATTCACCTATTTTAATCTTTAATTTTAATATTGCTATAGGTACATTTGCACAAAACACTTAAATTGATTTTAACTGATTTAAAAAAAGCTATTTATTTTTTAAATTTAAAGTTTGCAGAACAAAGTTTGTTTTCTTTAGAAGTAGTCTTAACTAAAGTATTATATAAAAGGTAATAATTCATACTAACTAAAATATTAGTAAGTGAAAGGACAAACTTTTCTTTTTCTCTTGATATATTATGATTTTAACTACTTATTAAAAACCTGTGACAAATTCCAATTAAAAAAAAATCAAAATTTGTTAAATTTAAAATACATTCTGTATTCTATAAATAATATGATCAGTGTAATTATTCCATAAAAATAATCTATCCACTTAAGTTTATTTTTATAATAGTTAACAAAGCTTAATTATTAGTAATAATTAAAAACCTAAAAAATAATTCTTATAATGTAATATTACATAAAATATTTTACTTATTATCTGATAGTTTCTACTGACCTTAAAACGTTTATCTTGAAGCACCTTTTTGATGGCGACGAGTTCGCCAGTGTCACATAGTTTGGCCTGGTATACCACGCCGAAGGACCCATTTCCTATGACCTTGGTGTCCGTGTAAGACACCTCTTGGGGTCTGTCTGGCCCTTGCCCTGGCGTGGCCACCACTGTCGTCACCTTGGACCCATCTTTACCTGTGTACGGACCCGCACGGAGCAGGGAGAAACAAGTCAAACATTAGACCATATGAATAGAATAATTGGAATAATAGAAACATTCAATTCATAAAACATAAAAAATCTAAAAAAAAATGATAAAAAAAATTCAAAAATTATTTTTTTATTTGTAGTAAAGAAATTTGCAGAAATCTCAAATAATTACATTTATCAACCCTTCCCACTCGCTAATTCCGGAATTTGTATGTATTTTGCGGCATCCGACTGGAAAGGGTTAATTTATAATATTGTTTATTAAAATAATTGTATGGCAAGATCAAGAGAATTAAATATATAATATAGTCAAGGATAGACAAGTCAGATTATTAGAATTTCTTCTGTATATATCAGGACAATTTAAGCTTAATCTAAAATTTATATTGCCATTGTTACAATACCCAAAGTTACCTAATAATTTGTGTCTTATCTCAAATTAGGATATGCAATTTTTAATATAGTAATTATTACACCTGTCCTGAAATAGACAACAAGAGAAACTGTAAGGTCAAATAAAATCTAAAATTTATTTTAAAAATACAAAATCTTCTGACCACTGTCAGAGATTTTGAAAATTGATGCATGTTAGTGTAACGTAAATTTCATTTTCAATCTTGTCTTGGTAGTTTTGTTTGGGTGATCCTCGAGGCGGCTTTTGTAATTGTCTGAATGTGTTCGTAAATCATCGTTCAATGTGTTAATAATAAATTCAAGTTTAATAAGTGTTCATGTCTACTATGTCTATTACAGTACATTAGAGAATTCATTTTTTTTTGTTTTCCACAGCAATCGGAACTCTTTATTACTGTTCTATAAGCTGTTTTTGTGTATGACTTATGACCTAAGGTATTGATATGAGAAGTAACCCATCGGTTCATCATTCTCCTATGTGTGGGGGTTTTATTAGCTCTTATCTCTAATAGTGTGCATGTGATTGTATACAACTATGTCCACGAAGGACGATTTCCACTTGGAATTATATTGTGATCTATAACCCCAAGTGGAAATTTGACATCAATGTTGCCTGATGTCAGGCTTGGCGGTAGCGGGAATCGAACCAGCGAACCTGGGTCTAGTTGGTGCTAGCCCACGCTCTAACCGATATCGCCACCGCTGGCCCGATTCAATTTTTTAAAATCATTTATTATATAAAGCCATTATTTTAATTTTTTTTCACTAGATATAAATTAGGGCAAGCAAAATATTTCTTTAGTATAATTAACTTTATTTAAGTAAAAAAAATAGTTAAATACAAACTTTTGTTATTATTTTTGGTTGTTCTTGGAATAGAACTAAAGATCTACTATATATTATTCTGAAGAATTTAGTATTTAGTACATCATTTATAACTGTAGTTTCCAACCTGTGGGTCGCGAGGTTATTGCAACGGGGGGACGTGTACAGCGGCTTTCAAATTACTATTCTTCAAAATAAAAATCAAAAATGTTGAAATGACCAAAAATAATAGATGATAAAATAATAGAATAATGAATAGTTGTTTTTATATATTTTCGATATAATATTTCATATTAATTTGTAGCCTGATAATATAAATTATAATATCAGTAAAGTATTTATAAAATTACATTTTGAGAAAAATTAAAAGACCGCATTATTTTTTTTAAAAAAAACGGAAAGCTGTGCTGTACTAATAGGTTGAAAACCACTGATTTATAACATAGCTGAGTACTGTTGGTTTTTTGTGAATTTGTTTATAGAAGATTATGAAAAACTTTGCTTTTGTCTTATAAGGGCAATCAAATTATGTGCATAACAAATTTGTACTAAAAAATCGGTTGACCGTAAATAAATCTTTCCATTATTGTTCGTCAAATACTTCAAACGAGCATAGATTTGAATATTTTCACCAAAAATAGCACGTTGAACCCCAAAATGAGGTTCTTTGATCAAAAATCCAAAATATCACTTAAAAACGAAGTACTAGATACTTAGTAATCAATCTAATTTAGATGAATTAAACTCAGTAGATGTTTAAGAAAGTCTAAAATTTTAAAGTGATACATGATCATTAGAACAACGATGATCTCCATGCATCTGGTTTAAAAAACCACCTCGAAAGTAATCAAAATTAGAGTTTTAATTAGCAAATGTGATGATTTAAAAAAAAAAACAAGGCAATGTTTAGTTTTAGCTACTAAAAAACTGTAAAATCTAGTACGATACTTTTTAATAATTGTATATGTAAAAATAAAGTATTTTATGTACAAGACTCGATCCAGACAGACACGACAATTCTCTTGAATTACCTACATGATAATTATTCTAGAACCTAATATTTGCCTAAAAATTGAACCGTTCCGACGCCGAAATTCAATTTATGAATACATTATAAGTAATTTTAAATTAGCATATCTCAGAATAATTTAAAAATGCGATCCAGAACTGATAAACGTGTAAAAGAAAAGTCAAAAAGTCATCGCCAGAAAAATATTCAAAATTAAACTCACGAATACAGATGTCAAGTCGAAATGACGCACGAAATGAAAAGTTTATTATAAATCGGTCTCGGCTTTAAATTTAGACGGTCTATTGATAAACAACTACTTTGGACTAAAGGCACATATGCATGTAACACAAAGAATCTTTTGTATGAAATTCTATACAATTTGTATAAAGTCCCATATAATACTCATGCGGGAGGAGCAGACAGTCTCAAGGAAATGAGAAAGTTGGATGGAGTTGTCTGCCTAAATAGTTATCTGGTGGAGATGTAATATCTTCAGCAAAAAACTAACTATAGGATTGTAGTAAATTAACTACTACTAACTCCTATTGAATAGGACTGTAGTTCATCACCCAATTGTATTAAATTAACAATTTCGTGGTTTTCAATCTGTGTGGCGCAACACCTCAGGAGAGGTTGACCAGATGCTTCTAAAATACTATTTCCAAAAAAATAAACTGAAACGTTGAAATATATGAAAAATTTAATAAATGAGTAATTCCATTTTATGTATATTTTTACATGATATTGTTTCATTATTTTGTATCCTGATGAATTATATTAGTACACTATTTATGAAATAAGATTGTTAAAAGAATTAATGGGAAAGCAGCATTATTTCTACAAAGAACTGGAGGGCGTGGTACAAAAAGATTGGGAACCACAAAATTAATTTATTCCCATCTATACGACAACATTGAAGAAAACAAAACTATAAAATTTGTGGGCCAAATAAGACCCTCACATAACATTTGGACGCTCAAAATACCGCAACTCTTAAAAATATTTTCTTATACATTAATTGGTCATTTAACTTAGAATAATAGAAACACTTCAAACAATTACTGTTTTTATATATCCAATAAAAATATAAAATTAGCGAATCATACTTCTCGAGCTTTCAGAAGTTCTCTGCTGTTTCATCATATTGGCAGATCTTCCAAATAACGATCATCTTAAAAAAAGACCATGGTCCTTTCACTCAAGGCAAAACTTAATTTCTACACTCTTTTTGTAATAAAATTTAAATAAATATTACTCAAAAAGACATATGTCATATAATAAAAATATAAAAAATAAAATACGATATCAAAATTGTGCTTAATTGACACTTCAATTCGACATTATTATAGTCACTCATTTTTTTTTTTTACAAAAATTTATACCTTTGAAATTCAAAAAAATGTAAAAATTATTAGCTTGATGTAGGACATTCGGGTTAAAAAAAAAGATTTTAAGATACTAAGATATAATTGTGTGGAGAAGATGCTGATGGAGAGGTAAAAAATTGAAATTAAAAATAAAAACATTGTCATTTCATATAAATCTTTCCTCATGTTCATTTTTCTTTTAAATCACTAAGCGATTATGAAATAATAATGTATTAGAATTGGAAATATAGGAAAGTATAAATTGTATTTTAATATGAATCAAGTGCAGTAATTCAAAAGGTAAGGATCGACAATTATCGATATTTTTATAGGAATTTATAATTGTCTAATTTGGGCTTATAATTAGTTGATGGCTTCCTTTAAATGGCCTATGATGAGATTTTATACAAGATGATGATTTGTTGACAACATAAAGTAGCCTTTAAATTTAATTCATTAATGTTCTCATCAATCAAAAATTTTAACCAGGGGCTGTTGTGAATACATTCCATTATCTAATTTGTCCAGGTTTCCATTATCTGATTTGTCCAAGAGATTTACATCTTGCATTAATGATTAGAATGAAAAGCTATTGTTAATTTATTTTGAATTTTGTAGTTCATAATTATATGAAGCATTATATATTTAATAAATTGCAATAAGGTGATTTGCTATAAGTAGTGTTTGATTTTAGCCTAAAACTTCTGACCTTCTATTAAATGACAAACCCTGCTATTAAGTTATAAACTTCTGAAAAGAAATAATACAAATGCATGAGCACCACACAAAATATTGATATGATTATTATATGGAAACTGAAAATTTAGAAAAATACAATCTATATCTAATAGAGTAAAAATTGAATATTTACTGTTTCATGATCAAAGATCCATATACTAATTTTAAGTCAAAATTATGTTAGATATTTTTTTGTTAATTGAATGTTAAACCATATAAAAGCTCCAGACAAATAAATAGTTTACAGGTATATCTACATTCCGCATTATATCTAAAAATAATCATAAAATATCTAATTACCATTAGAGAACCAGTAGTGTCAATATATTTTCGAGGCGCAAATGATATGCACTAATTTTCTTAGATATTTGTGTCGGTAATTAGTTACGTTTAAAAAAATATATGAAATGACCTATTTAAATAGTACTTAAACTAATTATAAACTCGTTTTCTTAAAAACTTCCACAGAAAATTTGGCATGGATATGTTGATCTAGATAATAGTGTCACAAATGATAGATAAAATTTTGTGCAAATATATAAGCAAAAAATAACAGAAATAGTTAAATGAGAAAGTTGGGATTGGGTAGAGGAAGGTTTCAGATAGAACATGGAAAAGCTTAGTTGTGGAAATAGAATATGGTAAAGATTTACTTAAATCAAAGATAATGTTATGTAAGTAATAAAATTTAAATTCATAATATAATAATTAGTAATAATTTCCTTAACTATAACTTTCAATACCTTTTCCTTTATTATTGGTTTTGTTTCCACTACCACCCAGCTTCAACTTTTTGTACAGCTCCAAAATACTAGAGCAATATTTTTTCGTAATAGTATTTCCAGTACTATTTTTAGGTGGCAATACACAATCTTTACTTTCTAAATTTTCACCTTTGTTTAAGGTTTCGTCATGTTTAGTTAATTTTTCGCTGAGTTCCCGCCAGCGATTTTTAGAATCACTGCTTTTTGCAGGAACAGTTGCACATACTGGAGGCATTTTGATCACAGATTTAATAATAAAAATTTATCACAATTTTTATAAATTTCTTTTGTTATTGATTGTCAAAACAGTTCACAAAGGTTATGTAATGGAATTGTTTATCATTTTAAGAATTGTCTTTTTAATTTTCATTATGGTTATACATTATTGTAACTATAATATCATATACAATTTATCACCTGCTAGAAAATAAATTAAAAGGTATTATATATTTCTAAGCAGAAGATACGTAATATAAATCAATCAATTTTAAAAGATTTTATAGTTTAGTGGATTGCTTTGATTTATTTATTCGCTGAGTTTTCCATTCTGATCAATGTCAATATTAATATTTATGGGCCATATAGCATTACAAAATTGTAAAAAATTGACAAAAATAATAAAAAAAGGAAAAATGTTGCGGGCGTTGATAGTCACTTATTTCATAATTGGTATACTCGTATAGTAACTTGGTCTATTTATTATCAACGTTTTGAAACAAAGTACGTTCCATCTTCAGGATACCTGACAAAAAACATGATCTTGATCAGATATAAACAAACCAAAACTATTTTTATATATATATATATATATATTTTTACTAGCAAACCGGGCGAATTCCGTTTCACCACCAGATGGTTTCATTTTATGTAACATTTCGTTTGGTGATTAAAAGATGAAGAAAAAAATTGCCTGCTGTTGAATTTGAATAAAAATTTGCACAATACACGTGATTGATTTGATGGTTTCCAATTGAAATGTTAGGGAACAAATAACTTATTTTTTTACTTTTTTTGCACAATTTCACAGTGAACACAATGCCGGTTGTGTCCAATGAAATTAACTGAGCAGAGAACAATGAGTAGCTGTCAAACAAATGAGTAGCAGTCAAACAAAAAATATTAGTTTGTAGGACATGCTAAGTATCAGAGATACTGTATGTGAAAAAAAAGTGTTTTCCGCTTTTCTGTTGAAATCTTTCTTCAATTTTCTTTGCTATAAACCTCACGGAGTCCGAGACCTTTCCAACGAATGCAAAGTCGTCGAAATCGGTTCGTGCGTTCTGAAGTTATATCGGCAGGAAGGAAAACCCGACTTATTTTTATATAATAGATATAATTCTATCTCTTTCATAATAATATTAATTTTAAAAAAATCCACAAATTGTTATTTTTTCTTAAGTATATTCCATTAACGATTAACCTTAAAATTTAAATTAATCCTTTGGTTTGTTTATATCTAATCAAGAAGACGAAGTTTCTTGACAGATGTCCTGAAGATGAACGTACCTATTAGATCCAAAAGGTTGATAATAAATAAAAATCTCTTCAAAAACTGTTTTGGTTTTTTATTACAATTGGATATATATATATATACTAGCTGACCCGACAGACGTTGTTCTGTACCTACGTCTACAATTTTTCAATATTTTATACTAATATTTACTGCTTAGTTAAAAATAATAATTACTGTTTTTTGAATTACTATTTACACCAATATATAAGTGATGTTGAATGTAGAACTGTTTCAAATAAAATGATTATTCTCAATTCCCACAGTTAACACTTTAATTATTTATTTAACAAATATTAAAAATTGTTCAATAAAATTGTATATTAAAAATTATACACTGCGATTTATAGAACAAATTTATTTCCAATAGCTCAATTTATTTTATTGCATTTAAGGGTTATATAGTATTTTTAGCCATACCTGTAGATGTGGATGTATAAATGAATGATTTTTTTGTTTATTCACGACTAAAACATAGATTTTCCAAATTTATCACACTAAAAATGATCGTCTGCCTTTTTGATTTATGGTCATAGCATAAGATACTCATGTTGACAATTGAAATCTTTTAAAAAGTACAACAAATTCAGAAAGAATTAATATATAGCATTCGCGGCAAAGGTGCAATATCACCTTTTATTTTTCTACCCAAAATAATTGCTTCAATAATGTTGCCTATAATTTTTATAATTTTGTACCATATTTTAACTGGCTTTAAGTAATTTTAATATCTAAATTGCATTTTTTTCTCTAATAAATCAATATACATTATTGCTTAAGTTTATATTTGAAGTGAATTAATTCGTCAAATCCTGTCCACATGTGCTCTATTCAACTTACGATCAACAAAATTATTGCTCTGTAAATTTTTTTACTGTGCTCCAATTTACTTGATATTTTGGAAATAGGCTAATCTTTATCTTAATTTCAATGTTTTTAACAATTTGCACTCCGTCACCATCCACAGCATTAATTGGATTATTACTCTTTTAATTCTGATTTTATCAGAACTTGTAATACACTATTTTAAAGGTGATTAAATGAGCTACAACTTTCTCTATCATTAATTTTACCGTAACTTCTCTTATTGTAAAACGGCGAAGGGTTAAAGGGCTCGAAAGACCTCTGGTTGGACAGCTCCTTAATTAATCATACATCTATCAATATTTGTGTAACGAAAAAATAATAAACAATAATAATTAGTCAGAAAAATACCTCGAATTTTCTTATATATATACTTTTATACGTATTCTTTCAGAGGTATTATGATGAGAAATTGGTTGTTTTTTTTTAAAATGTTTTTTTTTTCATGAAATCATGATTTTTTTAAAAATCATTTGCACTAAAGTTGTGGTATTTTCTAGAATCCATCAAGATCTCTTAAACCAAGTTAATTCTAGATTGAATACGACTATTTTTAATTTTGGTGGATATGGCACTCAAAGTATTTGATTTAAATGAAAAAAAAAAACATTGCATGCGTCCTTTATCTGCATGATAGCTCACTCATTTTACACGCAGAAGTACTCATTTTAAAGCTTATTTTGAGCACTATAAAAACCCATTTTCATATCTAGCCTAATAATGTTTCTAAAACACTATAAAATAACGATTTATTAGGATTTTAATTGATATAATTCTGTTCATTACATAATTTTCGTTAAAATGTATATTTTTGAAGGTGTTAGCAACAAATGATGAAAAACGCAAAAAAGAAACAAATATTCAGTAGTCAGTAACTTGAAAAGTATTTCCTTTTTTGAAAAACATTATTAAATATTTTTCTCGTATAATTAGTTCTTTTATCGATACCCAACGTTATTTTGAAAAAAGTAAAATTACACCACTGAAAAGAAATGTCATCCACCCGAGAAGTGGTAAAGGAGTCTAAATTGTTTTCACTTCTGAAGAGTAAGATGAACCTAGTTCCAAAATTCCAAACGAATTGGAAAATAGTAAAAATTTCAGACCCAAAACGCTCCATTGAGTAAATATTCCGTACCCAATGACAAACATATGAATTTTTGACACAATGAAACTTCTAAATAATTTTTTTTGTATTGTGACTTAGTATAGTAAGGCAAAACGACTGCAAATTGAATATGTTTGAGCGCAATCACTTATGGCTCGCTTCTTTGCGCGAATTCGTACGGCGAATCTGTTCGCAAAGTGCGCAAACAAAATTATTGCAAGCAAAAGCAAACCACGCGCACGTCAGACGCATGCGCAGACTGCATCACTTGTCAAATGCATGTTATATTATTTGCATCTTATATTAATTTAATTTTTGGCACATCTCAGCTGCTTTTCGGCATTAATAATGTGGACATTACATTTTCCTTATTCATAATTATGAATTTATTATATTCTAATATTGCCTTAGCCTATAAGTGAATAGAAATGTTTGGCAAATGACAGTCCTCAATTGTTTTTAATGTCAAACTAAGCTTCAAATATTTTCAAGGGCAAACAATGATAAGCGGTTTTTTGTAATTTTTTCTATTTATTTCTACAATTTAACTATATTTCTATGAATCAAAACATTCTAAAAAATTTCCCGAACAAACTTCAGGAAGATTCATGAAAATCCGAATTATAGTTTAGGAGGAAATATGAAACTTACATTGTTACAGAAGAATTTTATATATAAGATATACACATACAAGTAGATATACGTATATGTTAGTATGAACTCATAAAACCTTCACAAATAGTTAGCAGGCTAATTTAACACTAATTGACTTCTGGTTATTTAAATGCGCCAAATGGGATTCCTACAATACAACGTAATAAAAGAACTGGAAGTCTTTACAAAAGAACAAAATGCAAAAATCCATACAATACTCTAAAAAATAGATGATAAAAAATAAATATTAATAAGATCAATTCAAGATAGTAAGACCGAGATCTTAAACATAGATCGCAAGTAACTTCTCTTATGATAATCTAATTATTCCACTAATCTCCAATCTAAAATTCTTCAATGTAAAAGCTCTAGATATATTATTTTTATCCGGGATAGTCGTTTTATATTTCATTGGCAAAGTTCATAAATGCCTTTTCAATTGTATTGCTGATGAGAATCGAACATTTTCTTTAAAAAAAAATACAATGTTTAGAAAAATTAATAATTATATGATAGCCGACTTACTATTTACAAAAATATTACAAAAACAATATATATTATATGTGTGTTCGTATTATCGCTATGAGTTGATAAGGGTATAGTTTGGCATAAAAAGAGAAAAGTGGGCGTTGCCCTTTTATATGGGCTTGGGCAGCAAATGCAAGAAATTTTGTTCCACATAGAATATATTTAAATAAATGAAATTTACTTTATAAATTAAATAATAACGGATGTATTAAGTAATAATGGATGCAACAAGTAAATAATAATGGATGAGTCTATGTAAATATTTTTGTAATATATACTATACGTAAAAAATAAAAATCAAGCGTATTAAGTATATAAATATACAATATTAAAATCTAATTCCTTTATACCAGATTATATTCATAAACACTTTAATAAATTATCCAATTTATTATTATCCTCTCATTTTAAATTCCTTATAATCCTATTTATTTTCCATATCATGTGAGGTAATGCCCATATATTAAACTCAACTGTATAATATTTTATAAAACATGAAAAATATATTCGTGTGAAATAGAACAATGGGAGAAAAATTCATTTGAAGGTTAAAATGTATATCAATTACATCATATTTTAAAATATGTACATGCCAAAGTTGGTCCATTTAAATAAGTAGATCAGATGGAATCTATTGAGATAACGGCGAACCACAAATGGATTTTTCAAGCAAAAAATAGATAAAATCTTT